GTTGGCTAGGATAGATAAAGGCTCTTCCAGTCAGTAACCCAACATACTACAGGAAAAATGAACAACAGACCCCAGTTCTATCCAAAGGAATACTGACAATGGATTGCTGTAGATGAGGAACAGCTGACCCTCCTGGAACAGGGACCTCTGGCTGACTAGATTTACCAGAAGGGCAGACAGGGGGGAATGGATGAGGGTGCTGACAACACAGTGGACAGTGACAGGGATGGCAGAGTATGGAGCCTCTAGTGGGAGAGGAAGGCTGTCTATCTGATGAGTTTGTATTCATGCTCAGATGTCGAGGAGCTCAGAAGGTGGGCGACTGTGACCAGTGATAGTCATGTATATAGAGATTAGGAATGCATGTGAAAACATCTCAATGTCAATTGCTTTGGAGTGAATTCTTCTGTATGAAAAAAAAAAAGTTGTGCTGTAAAGTAAAAAATAAATAAATAAATAAATAAACAAACAAACAAGAGTAGGGGGCTGGACAGATGACACAGTGGTTAAGAGCACTGACTGCTCTTGCAGAGGACCTGGGTTTAATTCCCAGCACTCGCATGGCGGTTAACAACCATCTATAACTCCAGTTCCAAGGGAATTCGATGCCTTCTTCTGACCTCCATATGCACTGCATGACACAGGAGCACTTACACAGGTACACCCATACACATAAAATTTTTAAAAATAAAATATTTTGAAAAATAGGGTAGGAGAGTTCAATAGGAATAGGATGAGGAGGCAAGAAAGAGACCTACTTTACTCAGGAAAGAACATAAGAGAGTTGATAGCTCAGTAGAGATCTGAGAGACAAGCAAAGACCCTAGGGAAAAGTCCTCCAGACAGAGGAAATAGACATGAAGGCCCTGAGACGGCACAGTAAAGAACTGAAGGCAGACCTATGTGGCTAAAAATGAATGAAGAAAATGGATGAAGATGAGGTAAGAGAGGTGACAGGGCTGGAGGCTTGGTATCCTACATGTTATGATTCTAGTCAAGTGAGATGAGAAGCCATTGGAGTTTTAAACAGGGTTAAGCCATCTTAAGAAACAAACTTAATGAAGAGCTAATGAAGATCAAGGATCCTAGAGAAAGACGACCAGAAGGTCTGCAGAAAAGGACTTCAGGGACTAAGGCGAGACAAAAGGCACATCATCAGGTCATCTTGATTTCATGAGCTAACCTCTCCTTACCATCTCCTTTACCATCAGTCTCTGGCATTGGCATCCCCTGGACCAGGATCTGAACTTGAACTGTCCCAGAGATGGAATCATGCTTCTTCTGACAGCTAGGCATGGGGAAACAGATCTCTAATATCAACACTTGGGAGGTTGAGACAGAAGGATTATGAGTTGGAGGCCAGTCTGAGCTACACAGAGAGACCCTGTCTCAAAACATACTTTTCTTCCTTATGCTGAGCCAAAAATCTGATTCCTTGTGACTTTTACTCATCTACCTTCTGGGTTCTCCCATAGCTATAAAGAATTCCTTCTTCAGATAGGCCAGTATACTTTACCTCAGCTATTCACCTTATTTTTTAACTTTTCATTATAGAAATCTCAAATGTTCACAGTACACAGAAAGAATAGCATAACACATTCCACCTACCCATGACCAGCTTTAACAGCAATCAACTCTTGCATGACCAATTTTATCTCTGCCAGACATTTGGGTTTCCTCTACCTATGTAGTCATTCTATTTGTCTTGTAGGTGTGGTCTGGCCAGCAGTTCAGAAGAATGGCAACTTCCTTACTCAAAATCTCACATCTACTACAATAGCCTAACAGTCCCAGTTCATGTACACTGGGCCAGATAAGAATTCAATTGACTCCACAGATCTTACCAGAAGTTGGACAGCTGGGTTTTTAGACCCAAGCTCAGGAATTTGTCTCCAGTGATTTTCATCTTTCAGAAGAGTCCCATTCCTCGTGTCATCAGGATCCTTGTGGACCTGCTGCACTCTCTAATACTCACACCCCGACTCTAGCTTCTCTTTAGAAAAGAGAAAGAATGAATAGGGTAAATTGGAATTAAAAGCCGGGTGTTGTGGCACATACCTTTAACCCCAGCACTCTGGAAGCAGAGGCAGGTGGATCTCTGTGAGATGAAGGCCAGCCTGGCTACATATTGAGTATCGGGCCAGCAGGGGCTACAGAAAGACCCTGTCAAGAAAGAAAGAAGAAAGAAGAAAAAAGAAAGAAGAAAGGAGAGAAGGAAGGAAGGAGGGGAGGGAGGGAGAAGGTGGAGGGGAGGGGAGGGGAGGAGAGAGGAGAGAGAAAAAAGGAATTAGAAAAAAAGCATGTAGGGTAGGGAAATATCTGAGAGAATATTTGGTTTAAATTCCTTATTCCAGAGATGACTAAACAAATACTCCCCCACCTCAAGAGACTCCACAGGCTTCTGGCACTCAGGCTAGAACCTCTGCTTCATGCTCCCTGCATTTTCTACCTCATCCACAAGCTGAGTACCCAGGAGGAAGAGTTCCAAGGGATAAAATCAAGTTACAACTGGCCAGGCTAGTTAGTGTTCAACCACTGCAAACTGATTTCTAGTCAGCCCATTACCCTTCACAGGGCAGACACCTGTTGGATGCTAATGGCTGACAAGCCCACTGCCTTCAACTGTTTTCAAGTCAAGGGCTCCCACCTTTGAGACTAGGTTAGTAAGCAGTTTTCTCTGTTCTTAGCTCTTGCCAGACTATATAACTGAACTAGAAATGTTTAAAATACTCATTTTTAAAAAGCCCATAAATAAACTTACAAATTAGAAATGAGACATAATCTATTATCCAAAAAGTCACAATACCTCATTTACAGAATCCTTAACAAAATATGAATCTTAAAAATTCAGTACTCCAGAACACTGTTTTGTTTTACAATAGTTTCTACTTGAGAAACAGTAATAATAGGTAACAATCACATATACAACTTCATACAATAATCTGGGTAATATACAAAAGCTTCAGCATGTTTTCCAGGTATTTCTCCATTGCTAGCCAACCACACACTGGAGAAGGAACCAAAGATGTATACAACCTGAGGAGTCCCCAACAAAGGGTGGGGCAGCTCTGGGATCTTTTTTCCCTCTGTGAAAGACATGGCTCCTTATTTAGTCTGCAGGCAGCATCAACTATCAAACCATTTGCTTCTCTTTACAACAGGTCCACCTTTAGAAGGCCCCAACAATTTCTGCTTATATTGTTCGACCAGCTGGTTGAAGTGGGTTTCAGTCTTATTTCCCTTAGCTTTTTTCCTAGGGGCCTGGGAAAAGAAAGGAGACATAAGACAATTTTTTTTTGTTTCTTTTCTTTCTTTCTTTCCCTCCCCTCCTCTCCACACTGCCCCCCCCATCCTTTTTCTTTCTTTCATCTTTTTGCAGGCCTGAAAACTCACTATGTACCTAGGATGATCCTGAACTCCTGATCCTTATACCTCTGCCTTCCAATTGCTACCACCATACCCAGTGAAGATAATTTCAAATACTAAATATCACCTTACTCTTGAGGTCACCTCCCACACAAACACAAAGGAAGTAGGTACAGAGATCATGTTCACTAGGAAGAGGCGTATTTCTAGAGAGATCCTTGGCTTGGACATCCTTGCCTGCTCCTGCTCTCATCAAGAATTCCACTTATGGGATCTCAGACATAGATCTCTATAATAAGGTATAGTCAGAAATTTCCCAAGGACAGATTTCTGGAGTAGATGGGAAGCTGATGATTCTTTCAAAGGGAATGAACTAGGGAAGGAAGACAATAGCTTAATTTCAAATGTTCAAGAACACAGGACCATTATTTTATACTAAAAAGAACTAGGGCTCCTTGGAAAAACAGCTATTGCCATAAACAGGGAAAGAAACATGTAAGATGGTCTAGAACATTTTGTACAAGAAAGCAACACTACAAAAAGCAGATAAGGTCATGTCAGAAGAATGCAGAAGCCAATCTGAAGAGGCTTCTGCTGGCTTAGGAAAGGATACGAATGATGGCTGCATTGACTGAAACAAAAAGCATATGAAAATTTGGGATTTCATAATACTAAAAAGCAAAATCTTATAGGCCACTAATGGAAGTTGGTATGGCAATAGTCCATTACTCTGAAAAGTGAAACACAGAAACATAGACACAGGCGCACAGACACACACACACACATATACACACAGACACACACACACAGAGAGAGAGAGAGAGAGAGAGAGAGAGAGAGAGACTGACTCATTTACCCTATCTTTCTTATACATAAGATTCTTCTTTCTAGAGTTCTATTTTAAAACGCAAAAGGGATGAATAAATTAGAAAAAGCACCATTCTGTCGCCTATAATGAAATAATAGGTCAACATAACATTAATAAAAGGTAAGGGACTGAGGCTATAGCTCAAGGGTAGAGCACTTTCCCAGAATGAAGAACTTGGATTTCGTCCCTAGCACTGTAAAACAGACAGACAAAAATAGGTTAAAGAAAAAAAAGGTGAAAACCTGGTAGGGAACTTTCTGAGTAGAAGGATAAAATGGACAACTCTGATACCTGCTGATCAATCTTGGGATTACTAAAAGTGGACAACCAAAAATGAAAGGCCACAGGTGATGCAAAGAAACATGTATCACCACCTATGAGGTATTCTTACCAAGAAAACGAAGTACTCTTGCACCTCTGTATCTAGCTACCAGGTGGCAGGCAACACAGGGTATCACAGGGGACAATTTAAATGATACCATAAGGAAGCAAGCAGCTAAATTAAAAATGAAACACATCCTAAAGGGCAAAAGATCCTATTCCTCCAACAAATTAACAGCATGGGGGGGAAGAGTAAGGTGGAAAGAGTGAACATCACAAAGTTTTCTTTTTTTAAAAGGAAGAAATAGCCAGGTGTGGTGGCACATGCCTTTAACCCTAGCACTTGGGAGGCAGAGGCAGGTGGATCTTTGTAAGTTGGAGGCCAAGGAGGACCTCTGTGAGACTAAGGTTAGCCTGGTCAAGTTCCAGGCCGGCTAGGGCTACAGGGAACCTCTATCTCAAAAAACTCAAATAAATAAATAAATAAATAAATAAATAAATAAATAAATAAATAAACAAACAAACCAACCAACCAACCAACCAACCAACCAACCAACCAACCAACCATTGAGGCAGTCAGGGAAATTTTGACAGAGGCTATGTATTAGATGATATTAAGGGTTTCTGATTAATTTCAGTAGATATGATTATTGTGGTTTAAATACAAGTGTCCCCTTGCAGGCTCCAAGTATTTGAGCCAGGTGGTCCCCAGTTCACGGGGCTGTTTTAGGGAGGGTCATGGGAACTTTAGGAGGTGTGACATGCTGGAGGAAGCACGGCACTGGGAGCAGGGCTCTGAGAATTCACAAGCCTATTTTCCACTGCGAGTTTCGCTCTGCTTCCTGTGATTGTCTGAAGATGTGAGTGCTCAGCTTTCTGCTCCAGCCACCTCCTGCTGCCATGCCTCCCATCATTAAGGACTCCTACAATCTGGAACTGGAAGCCAAATAAACTCTTCCTTCTATAAGTTGCCTTGGTCATGGTGTTTTATCACAGCAACAGAAAAGTAACTAATACAATGATAATAGCTGTGCACATACGTTGGGGCAGGGGGGAAGACCTGACAATTAGAGATGCAATCTGAGTGGGAGAGAGGCAGGTATGGAAAATAGAGAATACAAGATCACTGCTGAAACAGACTGACAGACATAGGGCATTTACTTTTCTTTCCACTTTTATGACTGTACTCAACAGTCCCTGAAAAGTTGCAATCCTGCATGGAAAAGCCTTACTCTCTGCTCAGCTATCCAGAAAGTTTACTATCTGCTCAGCTACCCAAGGCACAACAGTGCTGCCAGCCCAATAGAGCCTCACCATCCTAAACTATGTGCCCCACAGAACTCACCTGCTTAGGAGATAACTGATGTTTCTTCTGCTTCCGCTGGTTTATCTGGGACTTTGGCTTAGAAGGAAGGGACTTCACTTTGCCTTTGTCACGCAACCTGAAATACGACAGCAATATAAATGTTACCCTTCAGTTCTTTTTCTAATTAGCACCATTGGTCTCTCTCAGCTTAAGTGGCATATTTCCTTCCTGCATAGCTCCTTCTAAGCCCAGAAGTAATCACTCTTATGTGGAGTCCACAACCTCTGTCCTCATTTCACTTTTTGTATTCTCATTTGCTTGTCTGTCTATATTTATTCATTTTTGCTTGAACCTTCATGGAAATCACAGAAACTTTCACTTACTTACCAAAATTTTAAAAAAGATCTATTTTTGTACATAGCGTTAATCTGTTGTTCCAAACAGAAAATTAATAAGCTAACCTCAGCTCACAGAACTGGACAGGAATAAGTTCTTGAAAAGAGAAAAACGCCATGAAAGCCTGCCCTGGAAGGTTCCTCCGGGGCGCCATCTGCCACTCAATCCATAAGTAACACCTCTGCTGGTATTGGAGACTTGACTGTTAACCTCCCAAGACTAGCACAGTACAAACATTTCATTTATCCAAACAAATGTTACAAAGAACTACACACACACACACACACACACACACACACACACACACACAAACCACTTAGAAGCTGCCCTGTTCCACGTGGCCCTCCTGCACCTCACCTAATTTTGGGACCTCGGTGTGAAGGAAGCGCCAGGACCTTTCTTCTCTTCTTCCCATCAGGCAGCTCCACCTGCTCCACTTCAGCCTTGGTCTGGAACCCTGTCCAGGTGGAGCCAGCCTTCCCTTTCTGCTTTGCACAAGCCTTACTTGCATCCTCTGTGTGGCCTGGAGCTGCCGTCTGTTGCTTATCTTTTCTAGGTTCTGTGGGCTTCTTTTGGGGCTTATCGGTTACAGGCTTCAATTCCAGTTTTTGCTGCATAAAACAAATTATCATCTGGTTTCTGGATGAAGTTTGCTTGCTGGAAATACTCAGCAGCAGAAGAGCTTTATCTGAATGCATGGCAAAAGGGGAACTCTCCCCACAGTTAAGACTACACGACAGTAAATACAGGCAGTTCAGCGAGCACTGCCTAGCAACAGGGTTACTAGAGGACAAACTTTGGGGACACACACACACATAAATTCCCTTAAAATTTCCTTCCCATAGACTTAAAGGACAGTTTTTGCTCCTTGCCCTCCAAGGTTGACCAAGTTCCAGGGGACTATGGAGCATCTCTCAAAATGTCCTATAACTGTGGTGAGTCACCTGTCCTCTTGATCAGGGAGGCCGTGGAGACCCCATGGACTTGAACCAGTGTCCAGTCTACAAAGAGGAGGATCAACACAGAGGAAACATTTCCTCCATGCTTCCAAGCGAAGCCAGCCACAGTCAAGTAGGACCTTTGACTTATCTTCACATAGATGGAACTGGTAAAAGAAAGGAGCCAGGGGCTCCTCCCAAGCCCATGTGACCCCTGAGGAACAGATCCTCAAATGACTATAAGAGTAAAAATAAATTGGTTTATCTGGACCCAAAAGGAAAGTATAACCAAAGATTAAAGTGATCAGTATAATTCTTTAAGACTCCATGTGTATAGCTAAAGGCTACATAACCAGAAACAATGCTAGACAGGAAATACCTTCCTTTGAGTTTTTGGCCAGGGTGGCCCAAGAGACACCCAGACAGTAACCCAGCATAGAACTGGGAAAATGAACAGCAGACCCCAATCTTATCTAAAGGAACGTTGGCAACTAATTGCTGCTAGATGAGGAAGAGCTGATCTTCAAAGCTAAAACAAGGAACTCTAGATAGGCAGACTAGACTCAACAGATGGACTTGCACTGGGTAATGGCTGGGGGCACTGATAACACAGTGTACAGTAAGAGGGATGACAGAGTATATGGGCTACAGTGGGAGTGCGGGGAAGGCTATGGGAGGGTGCCATTTGGGATGCGAGTATAAAGATCTCTCTCTCTCTCTCTCTCTCTCTCTCTCTCTCTCTCTCTCTCACACACACACACACACACACACACACACACACACACACACAAATATCTAAAAATTCCCTTCCCATAATATAAACAAGGAGAAAAGCAATGGTCCAAGACCCAAAAGCCAGTAGGGGTGACAATTTAGAAAGGCAAAACTTGGGGGATATGATGACACACTCCTCAAATCCCTAGCACTTCAGAAGAAGAGAGGGAGGAATGAATAGGAGTTTGAGGCTAGCCTAGGCTACATACATGAGACCCTCTCCCTTGTCACAAAGACAAAAAATAAATAAATAAATAAAAGTATAACATACAGGAAAGGGCAGAAAAAGAAACAAAAAGCAACAGAGGAATTATGTGAAACAATAAAGACTAAGAATTTTTCAAGACCAATGATAGACATTAAGTCACAGATCTGAGAGCTGAGAGAAAACCAAAAAGATGAATACCCCAAAACTCTACAACTAGATAAACCAAACTGTAGAGAAATTACAGAAGGATAAGGCTCTATTTGCTTTCTCTTCAGAAAGCACACAGGCAAGAGGAGAACAGAGATATTAAGTACCAAAGGATAAACACCAATCTTTACCCACGAAATCATCTTCCAAAAGTGAGGGAGACTTTCTCAAATAACTAAGAACTGAACTGCTGCCAGCAGATCTGCTTTGCAGGAAATGTGAAACAAATTCCTTCAGAGAAGGCAAATGGCACAGGTTAAAAACCTAGGTTACAGCTGGGCGTGGTGGCACATGCCTTTAGTCCCAGCACTTGGGAGGCAGAGGCAGGCGAATCTCTGTGAGTTCAAAGCCAGCCTGATCTACATAGTGAGTTCCAGGCCAGCTGAGGCTACAAGTAGACCCTGTCTCAAAAAGACTAAAAAATTAATTAATTAATTAATTAATTAATCAAAAACCTAGGTTATGGGGCTGGAGAGACGGCTCAGCAGTTAAGAGCACTGACTGCTCTTGCAGAGGACCTGGGTTCAGTTCCCAGCATCTACATGGCAGCTAACAACCATCTATAACTCCAGTTCCAAGGTATCCAGTGCCCTCTTTTGACCTCCATGGGCTTTGCACAATACAGGTACACTTACATGCATGCAGGTAATACACTCATAAACATAAAATAAAAACAAACAAAATACATTAAAAATGTAATTTTCAGGGGAGGGTAATGAAAAAAAAAAAAAAAATCAACCATGAAAGCAGAAAGGAGAAATACACAGGGGTGGGAAGAGTAGACCAGCAAGTGTGGCAGGAGGGATGAAGGGGTAAATAAGAACAGAGTATGAAGAGATATGTGTTTGAAAATGGCACAATGGCCGGGTATGGTGGCGCATGCCTTTAGTTCCAGCACTTGGGAGGCAGAGGCAGGCGGATCTCTGTGAGTTCAATGCCAGCCAGGTCTACACAGTGAGTTCCATGCCAGCTGGGGCTACAGGGACACCCTGTCTCAAAAAGACCAAAAATAAATAAATAAATAAATAAAAAGAAAATGGCACAATGAAACCCATTACTCTGTATGCTAAAAATAATAAATTTAATTTAAAAACAGAAAACAAACAAAACCAAAACCATCATGAAAACCCCTAAGTCACATAAAGACAGGAAGACCACTGGGGAAGAGGTGAGTAAAGTAAGGAAGGTAGGAGACCCTAGAACTTCAGAGCAGGCATGAGGATGGTCAAGTCACACCAAAGTGGAAGAAAAGAAGATTCCAGTAAAATTAACCTAAGAATAAATGTTTGTTATTTTGCCCTTTCAAACTTAATCTAGACAGGTATGTTGATATAATCCATGTTTATTAAATGTCTACTGTGTGACAATCTGTTTTTAAGTGGTTAGGATACAGGAAATAACAAACATACATAAAGCAAAAACAAAAACAAAAAAACAAGAACCCACAAATCCCAAGGAAGTTGGTGTCAGTCTAAGAACCGACAGCTTATCTGGGAGTGGGGAGGTTCACTTGATCTGGATAGTGAGAAGTTTCCTTATGAGTCAAGCGAAAGGACCACTTTCACACCTAAGGCTCAGGATATACATAAGCACAAACAACAAAGAAGGCAGAGAAGACAAAGCAGCAGCTTAGAGCACTGCTAAAGTAACGGCAGAAGGCAATTCGATTACCTGGAGTGACAAAATTGATGTGAAAGAACACACCCCAGGTTCTCCAACAAGAGCCATAATTTTAGCCACTGATATTATTCATCTGTTTGTCAGACTTCTGGATGCTCACATGTGCAGGCTGTAGTATAGTATTGATAAGAGCTCTAAGAGTTATAGAATCCAAAATAGTCTGGATGTAATCAAGTCAACAAGTAATGATGATGATGATAATTCTTGGAAAGGTAGCTGAAACCCCTAAGTAATGTAAAACCTTAACCTCAGCCATAAGTTTTGTCATGTCAACCCAACACACTATGTACAAACTCATGAAAGATAAGAGTACTGGTTTGTTTCTCTTGCCTGGCCTTTCCCTTCTCCTATGTAGCGCTCACAAATGGACCAGCAAAGAAGAAAACCTGGGGAAAGCCTTAGGAAATGATCAGTACAATCCTACTTGGGCGGAAGCACAAACTGAACAAAAAAAAAAAAAGTTAAATTAACAAACAAGGGCTGGTTTATGGTGGTGCATGCCTTCAATCCCAGCACTTGGAAGGCAAAAGCAAGATCTCAGTGAGGTCAGGCCAGTGTGGTCTACACAGAGAGTTCCAAACTAGCCAGGCCTACACACTGAGACTCTGTCTCAAAACAAGCAAATAAAAACAAAGCAAGGGCCAGTGACATGGCTCAGCACATAAAGGCATTTATCATCAAGCCAGATAACTCAAGTTCAAGCTTTATGACTGACATGGTAGAAAAAAAAGCGCCAACGTTTAAGTTGAGTACCAGGTTGCGTTGGATCCTTAGCTCTTTCACTTTAAGCTTCCTTCGATCTTCCAAAGAGAACTCCACTATCGGTCTCTGTAAGAGGGAGACAGAATGTTACAATCTGTATACAATAAAGCTAGCTGTTCCTCTCACTCACTCCTCTGTGGAAACCTCAAGGCCACTACTCACTTCAACGTAAAGCCCAGTTCTGCAGGTAGTTTGACCAAACTTAGGTCCTTGTAAGCAGTTTCTCACCTGGAGTCACCATTTATTTCCCCAACCTCCACCCTGTTCACTTGGTACTCTTTCCACATTCAAATATAAGGGAACACTAGACATTTAGGCAGAGGGCTCTCAGAAAGCAGGACTCCCTGGAGGATGAGGCTCACCTTCTGAGATCCAAAGATTTCTGGGTTGTTGTTGATATGGCGGAGAGCTTTCAAGGCATGCTGGTGCTCCTGGAACTCTGCAAAGGCATAGCCTAGGGAATGACCCTTTGTTTTTCCATTAACGGCTTTAAGGTCTCGCATCACCCTACACTATAAGTACAAAAACAAAAAAAGAAGCAGTAATTATGAATGAGAAGCCCGACAAACTGCTTTAGCTTATTCAACAAGAAACACAAAATCTTTATTTATACTATTACCACAGGAAGGAATGCTGAAATAACATTCATGAGTGTCTACCTTATTAGAATACTTACTGATAACACAAAATACATTACTTTCTTCCTAAGCATTTACAGACATCAACAGAGACCTACAAATAAAATACACAAATACAATAAATTTCCTAAGGAAGTGGCTAGAGAGATGGCTCAGTGGTTAAGAGTACTTGTTGCTCTTGCAGAAGATCTGGGTTTGGTTCCCAGCACCCACATGGCGGCTAACAACTGTCCACAGCTCCAGTTCCAGGAGATCTGACACCCCTTCTGGCCTATGTGGGAATTGCACAACACAGGTGACTTAAATACATGCAGGCAATACACTTATACACATAAAACAAAAAAACAAAATATTTTTCAAAAAATTTCCTAAGGAAAATTTGTAATAGTCAACTGTTCATAATACATATAAAAGAGAGGAACATGGTACTCTAAAATTTATAGCAATTTATTGCTGAGGATGGAGAACTATCTGTAGAGAATATCACTGAAGAAAGCCTGTAGGAGGAAAAATTAATGGGGGAGGGGGAAGAGAAGGTCATGTGGCTTTAGATGAGAAGGACATTTCAGACAGGGGAAAGAGCTTCCCTCTACCCTCCATGATACATCCTCAGAAATACAGGAAGAAGTTTCAACTCTCTTGGCTTGGAGTAGGATTCTCTTTCTTACAAATTTTTCTCTAAATTCCTAGGTTAGAGCCAGGGAACATCTTGGGGCCATAGGGTATACAGTAGCATACTTTAGAGAAAATTCATCATTTATATGCTATAACTCCTCAAAGCTGTTATGCTTCTAGAGTGAGAAACTGATATAGAAGACACTTGTATACTACACTCCACTTTGCACGTAGACAGTTACTCTGTCCACTGTAGGGGAAATCAAGAAAAGAATGAATTCCTTTCCTCAAGATACTCATTCACTTAAGATGTCACTCAAGACATCTTATTGAGACAGCATACTTACACAAATGTAAGAATCCAGAGAAAAATCAATCTAACACATTTAGTACATTTCTGTACTGTACAATGTACAGAAATGCACTAAACAGTAATGGGTTTTCAATGGGCAGGCACTAAATACTGTTGCTATTGATATGGGAAATCACATTGAGGGCTTTACTAAAGTGTTGTCAGATATGTGTATGTATTTTTATTTTATGTACATGAGTGTTCTGCCTGTATGTATGTAACTGCAGGTAATGCCTGAAGAAATCAGAAGAGGGCATGGGATATCCTAGAACTGGAGTTATGGACAGTTGCTGGCTGCCATGTGAGTGTTGGTAACCAAATTCAGGTCCCCTGAAAGATCAGCCAGTGCTCTTAACCATTGACCCATCTCTCCAGTCCCTATGTATACATTTTTAAAGGGCTTTTGGAGATTAGACATACAATTTATGATGATGAAACAACAAAACACACCCAAAATATTGATGACATTTAAAATTTTTATTTACTCATTTTTGTCATAAGCAAATAGTGTCTTTAATGATTATTTATTCATTTTAAAAATGTTATGTGTATAAATGTTTTGCTGTGCTTATGTGAGTACACCCATGTGTGCAATGCCCAAGGAGGCTACAAGAATCAGACACCCCTTAACTAGAGTTACAGATGCTTGTTAGATACCATGTGGTTACTGAGATATGAACCAGGGTCTTCTGCAAAAGCAGTCAGTGCTCTTAACCAACTGAGCCCTCTCTCCAACCTTAAGCAATGGTATTTTTTTAATATTTTATTTATTATTTTTATTTTATGTGAATGAGTGTAATGCCTGCATGTGTGTAAGTGCACCCGTGTGGTACAATGCCCATGGAGGTCAGAAGCAATGGTATTTTTAAATATAAAGATCATATAAGATCCATGCCAATTACTATACCCAGGACTGGGGACTGCAATAACATTTACCCTTGAAGAGCTTAGTCTATCAGGAGAAACAAGTGAGAATTTCAGGTTAGTATAACAGTAGGTGCTTCAAAAGGCACAAAGTTGAACCAAATACTAGTGTGAACCCAGAGTTTTCTAATTCAGCTGAAGACATGCGTGTATCCTCCGTAGATGACAGAGCTAAATGCTATTTTAGGGGCTGGGGAGATGTTACACTTTTGCAAGCAGGAGACCCTGAGTTCAGCTACCCAGAACCCATATAAAAGCCAGGCATAGTGGTATGTATCTGTTATCCTGGTGCTCCTGTGAAAGCAGGGACAGCAGAATCCACAGAAGCTCACAGGCCAGCTAGCCTGAGACATATGCAACAGTGAACAAGAGACCCTGTTCCAAACAAGGTGGAAGAGGAAGACTGACACCTGAGGTTACTGGTCATCTTCTAATTTCCACATGTGTGCTCATGTGTGTATGTACGTGTTCTCCCCACCTCCCCGAGAGAACAAAGCACACGAATTGTTTTCTTTGCAACAAAAATGCTCATGACCCAGGATGAGAAAGCAAGCTACACAGAGCAAGGCAGCCTCACCTCCTTAATGCGCACCCCCTTCTCTCCTTTAGTGGCATTCAGCAGCAGCTTCCTGAGCTGTTTGTCATCCACGGCCTTTGGGAGATTGTGAAGGCAAAGCCTGGTCTGGGAGACAAAGATATTCTGGTTCTTGAGTTTCTGATGTTTCAGTAGCTCAAACTGGGAAGAAGGAAAAGACAAACTATTAACATGCAATATAACCTCCAAGCACGCTCATAGTTCTCCAATCAAGACCCCCATCCCATAACACAAGCAATAAGAGGAAATCCCTCACCTTGCTGCCTTACAATGCCTAGCTGAGAGAAAGGGACATTTTAAGTCTCAATTTTTTATCTACAAAACTTAAACTGCCGATCAAAATGTAACTGTCTCAGCATTGGTGTGCGGTCAAATGAGATTATACACAAAAAACACATCGCTCAAAATGTGGTCCAGTGCAAGTATTCTTATAAATAATATAGAAGTCAACATGTATGCCCAGTTCTCATCCACCTAGCAACTCAAACTAAGTACCTAGTACTCGCTTCCAAAAGAAAATGGAACTTATTTAAAGAATACTTGGTAAATGGTGTCTTGTTTCAACTCTGCCACCTTGAGGCAAAAGTATGTATGTGCTTGACCACAAAGGGTATTCTACGCCGAGAGCAGCTACCTCAACTAAGCTGCCTCCCACTCTAGTTCCCAGGATAGCACGTCCCTTAAACAAAATGAAGGATCACATCTTCCTAATTTGTTTTTAAACAGGTCAAGGAAAAAAACACGCTCTTTTTGTTGCTGTTGTTGCTGTTTAACAGGTCTTCTGAGTCCTAATGCTTCTGGTAAAGAAGTTAACAAATCATAAAACAAACACTCTGAAAATGAGCATTAAAGGACGTCTGAAGAGGCCACTGTGCTAGACTCAACAGACTACCTTTCTCTCAAGAAGAGCTATATTCATTGTGAATTTATAATTCATACATATAATGTAGTAAGCTTTCTGCTAGCAAAATTAGTTGTAAAGTTCAATATGTTACTACTGCACTATGGTCAGGAAAGGGCATATACTACTAAAAAGGAATTGAGAACACCTTACACAGTACTCATGCTGGAAAAAGACACACTGTTTCTAGCTATCACTACAATGTGACCTCTGTTCACTATCTCTTGCACTTTAAGGTTTTATACTACCTGTTAATAGCTGTGCATCTTTACCATTCTAGGCTGGTTTAATTTTTAATTTTTAAATTTTTTTTAAAAAATGTACCCGTGTCATGCTATGCCATGGAGGTCAGAAGAGGGCTTCAGATTCCCCTGGAACTGGAGTTAAGGATGGTTCGTAGCCACTATGTGGGTGCTGGGAACTAAACCTGGGTCCTCTGCAAGAGCAGTCAGTGCTCTTAACCGCTGAGCCATCTCTCCAGCTCCGGTTTATTATTTTTATTTTATGTGTGAGTGTATTGCCTGCATGTGTGTAGGTGCACCCCATGCCATGCAATGCCCACAGAGGTCAGAAGAGATTGTTGGATTCCCTGGAACTGGAATTATGAATGGTTGCTAACCACCATGTGGGTGCTAGACCTGAATCCAGGTCTTCTGCAAGAGCAGTCAGTGCTCTTAACCACTGAGCCATCTCTCCAGCCCCATTTTTAAAATTATTTTATTCGTGTGTGTGTGTGTGTGTGTGTGTGTGTATGTGTGTATACACACGCGTGTGCATGTGCTCAGGTAGAGGTCAGAGGACAACTTTCAAGAATTGGTGCTCTCCTTCCGCTATGGGTCTGGAAATCAAATTAAGGTTTGCGTGGCAAGCACTTCTATCCACTGAGCTATCGCCCTGGCCCTATGCTGCCTCTTTAAAAGTAAACTACATGGGTTAGCAATATAATTCAGTGGTAGAGTACCTGCCTAGCATACATGACATCTAGAGTTCAATCCTCAGCACCACATAAACTGGGAATGATGGTGCATGCCTATAATGCTAGCACTTAAGAGGTGGAGGCAGGAGGATCAAAAGTTAAAAAGTTATCCTTGGTTACACAGTGAGTTTGAGGCTACATGAGACCCTAGTACCAAAAAAAAAAAAAAAAAACCCACATAAAAGTAAGCTATATGGGCAAAAGTAAAATTTACCAAACATTACCAAGCAATAAAAGAACTTAATGGACTTAATTCACAGTAGAAGCACCTATAATATGGAGTTTTTTTTAAATAATGGTATAATCTGAAGATTCTAACCCATCCGAAATGACATCTTAACCTTCTAAAACCCCCCCTTTCCTAGTAAATCCAGCCCATATAGTTTCCTTTCTGTGGTTCTATATTTATGCTGAGAGTCACACACAACTCCTATGTTTGCATGCCTAGTGCATGATCTAGCAACACGCTATTCACCAGTTACTGCTGAGGATTACAGAAACAAGGAATAAGACTTAATTCTTACACTGGCACAGAAAACTAATGTAATATTATGAATGATGCTGGTCACTTGCTATTTCACCTGAGTGCTTCTTTTCTAAAAGACTGTACATAGGGTCTTTAATCTGTACTTGGCTCTTCAATGAGCAAAAGTAGCACACAATAACTGTTTCTGATTGATTTAAAAACCATGGAGAACCACAAGGCTGGTGCCTAATCTACTCACCCGCTCTCGTTTGGCCATATCTGCAGCACTCACACCCTCAGCAGCCTTCGTCCCAGCACGGATCACTGCATAAAGAGGGAAAAAGACCAAGATATCACCAAGGGAATTTTCACTGAGCAACAGAAGGAATGTGATTTGAATGATGCAAACCCTTTGTACAGGTCCCTGGGGACTCTGTTGGCCAGAACATTTGGTTAGGTTCAAAAATAGGCTACAGGGCTAAGTTCTGAACTTAGACTTACTCTCCAAGACTAAAACTCTGAACATTTTGTAATTGTGTTCTACTCTGCCTAAAAAGAAGCTTTGTATACACATTCCAACTTAGATAGAAAGGCTTAGAAGAGGTTCTGAAAATAAGTGTAATTTAGGCATTTTCGAATGCCAAAATGTTCTACCAATAACGTGCTCCTGAAACTTAGTTGCTTCTCTTGCATTTGGGGGCCATGACTCAGCAGTTAGATAAACCAGCCTAGAGGACAAACTTATTACATGGAGACCTTGGACCAAAGGCTGATGGCCTAACATTCCTACTGGGACTGTGCAGCTGTGCAGAAAATAGGCTGATAAATACTGTGTAGAAAAAGGGTTTTGTTGTTGTTGTTGTTGTTTTAACTTAAAGCTAATGTCTGATTACCCTTCTGACATAAAAGTACTAGGTGTACATTTAAAATCTATCAATAATCCAAAAGAGTAACTTTAGCTGTATAATTTTTCAACATCTTCAAAAAAAAAAAAAGCCTCTTATTAAAAATGATGACAAGAAGCAAAGATAATTTGAGGTTTTCCTCCTTTGTGCTTCCAACCCTGTAATGGAAATATCTAAAGGCAACCAGATAGAAGAGAGAATGGGACCAATTAATCTACAAAATGGTGAAGGATCCCTAAACAAAGCCACATCTACTCAAGTGCAATAGCAATAGAACACTGTTAAGGAGGAAAATTTGTTTTTTGTTTTTTTATTTGAAACATGCCCCAAAACATAATTGCTGGATCACTGTCATGACACAGAGCCGGCTATTTAGATGTCTGGTTCATATCTTCTTCCACTACTCACAGCCTTCTCGGGCCAGATAGAGGTTCCGGGTTCCCATTGGCTTCTTCGTCTTCTTTGTCTGAAGCTTTGCAGCCTCATCACGGGTCACAGCCAAGTCAACCTTGAGCTGCCGGCCATCCAGCTTAAGCCCTATACCCTGTAACACATTTCAACCACCCCTTCAAATACACAAAAGAACAAAGTACCTAACAAGGCACAAAAGGGAATCAGCACACCTCAATTATGCTATGGAAGCCAAGCCCCAGGATGTTTCTGCCTGCCTGGCTACAAGTGGACCCTTGAGTCTCACAAAATAGTATAATGGTGCAAAAGTCATATGTGTATGTATTTAGGTCACTCAGCAATAGGGAATTTACTTTACAGTAGCTGTAAAGTAAGCCTAAACTGAGGAAAATGTCCTGTGAACAAGCAAATTTTTAGTATTCTAAAGAAAGCTAGTATAGGGCTGGAGAGATGGTTCAGTGGTTAAGAACACTGACTGTTCTTGCAGAGGACCTGGGTTAGATTCTTGCTCTTGCAGAAGACCCGGGTTCAATTCCCAGCACCTACATTGTAGCTAACAACCAATCCATAACTCTAGTTCCAAGGGATCCAAGGCCTTCTTCTGGCTTCCTTGGGCACTGCACAACACAGGTACACTTATACGTATACACAATATACTCATACACATAAAATAAAAATAATATATTTTTTAAAAAACTAGAAAGCTAGTGTAGCCAAGCATGGTGGCACATGCCTTTAATACCAATACTCAGAAGGCAGAGACAGGCTGATTTTGAAGCCAGCCTGGTCTACATAGTAAGTTTTTCAGACCAGCTGTGGCTATAGGGAGACCCTGTCTCAAAACCACCCTCCCACAAAAAGCTAGTGAGGGGGCTGGAGAGAGCACTCCAGAGATTAAAAGCACTGGTGCTCTTGTAGAGGACCCAGGTACAGTTCCTAGCACTCCCATGGAGGCTTACAACGAACCCTAACTCTAGTTCCAGGGGATCCTACACCCTCTTCTGGCCTCTGTGGGCACTGAAGGCATATGGTGCACAGACATATATGCAGACAACGTACTCCTGCACTTAAAAATAAATTAAATAAAAATATTTTTCCAAAACAGGATCTCACTATTTAGTCCTGGCTGGCCTTGAACTCCCAATATAGACCAGGCTAGCCTCAAACTCAGAGACCTGACTGCCTTTGCCTCCCAAGTACTGGGATTAAAGGCATGTGCCACCATACCTAAAAAAAAAATTTAATTTAGACAGGTTCTCACTATATAGGCCTGACTACCCTGGAACTTGCTATGTAAACCAGGCTAGCCTTGAACTCAGAGATCCGCCTGCCTCTACCTCTGGAGTGCTGGAATTCAAGGCATGTGCTACCACACCCTGCTAAAAAAATTTTAGTATTTTAAAATTAAAAAAAAAAAAAAAAGAAACTAGTGAAATGGTAGAGCATTAACTCAAGAATATTTAAGAGATAATGGCAATACAGGATAACATCTCAAAACAATGCATATTTGGTTATAAAACAAAAAATTCTCAATATCTACTCTATCAAACTATTGCATTTCACAGGGGGCTTAAGACCTTCTTCTCCCAGTCTTTTAGTGTAGAATAGAGACTGATACACAGCCAATAATCAATGAGTACCAGAAATATTATATCTATGTGCTCACCTAAGAAACATGGATAACTATACCTATCTCAGGCTAATGATCAAGGTAATGCACATTACATGCTCAAGTCATACCTTTATTACTATATGTATACACACACACACACACACACACACACTCACATATATATATATATTTTTTTTAATGTTATGTGTATGTGTGTATTGCCTGCTTGTAGGTAAGTGCACCCATGTCGTGCAATGCCCAAGGTCAGAAGAGGCAGTCGGATCCCCTGGGACTGGAGTTACGGACAGTTGTTAGCTGCCATGTGGGTGCTGGGATTCAAATCCGGGTCTTCTGCAAGAACAATCAGTGTTCTTAACCGCTGAGCCATCTCTCCAGCCCCCTTACTATTATTATTAATAATACAATACTAATAATAAAACTGCAAACATCAGCTCTAGCCCCTAAAAGCCACTATCTTCTAGGCATAGGGAAAGAACACGTTTCCCTTACCTCAGCCTCTGGAGAGGCAGCTGCAAGGCATTTTTGAGCTGCTTCTTGAGTCATGAACTGTGCAAATGCACAACCTGCACAAAGAAACAAAATTATGTGAGACCCCCTCTCCCCAACTCCCACAGTAAACAAAAAACAATACTGCAAATAGCTACAGTCTGACACAAATGGAAGAGGTAAGTAGAATCTGTTTACTAAACACTATGGGATAAGCATATGCTAACCAGTGAAGGATCAAAACCAAACATTAAAGCATATATGTTCTCAGTGAAATTCTACTATTTATATTACCCCTTTTAATGTGTCTTAGCACTTTGGTCTCATCAATTCTTTCCTTAATAATACCAATATGAAATGTAAAGAAATCCAGCTAAACATGTGATTCAACATCACTGAGTGCCTAGCTGAGGAGTAAAAGATAAGGCAGAACTATTTAACCCTGAAATTAATTACATCTATCTCACAGTCCTAGAGTCACTTGGGAGGAATCAGATAAACAAAAGATCTGCCTCTTGGGGTAAAAGAGGCCACTACTTCATGAAAACTGTGGGAAACCAGAAAGTGATAAGCTAAATTCTTGGCTCATGTTCTAGAATCTCCAAAAGGCTTACCTTTCATTGGTTAGATACAAGACCAATCAACCCAAATGAATTTTTACTATGGATAAGAACAACTTTATAAGAGTTTACCTCATAGTAAATTTCAAAAAAGAAACATCTTTCATAATCTATTGTTGGTCTACCTTAAAACTTTAAATATTCTCTCATATACGAAAACACCGTCATGTCTGCCAGAGCTACTGGGCAATTCTCTGTGCTCTGCAGGAATAAATTGTACCAGTTAATATAAAGTGCACATATAGTAGACCAACCCAAGGGCCACCATCTAGGGAGATCTTCTCTAACTCCTCCAAACAAGGCCAAGTGCTCCTATTTCCATGTCCCCACCCTCAGTCTCTTCTCATATCTCACTGAGTACTAGTCAGAAAGTATCTTCTCAAATAGAATAAATACTTCAAGAATAAGAACCATCTATCACAGCATAGAGAATTAATAGATACCCAGTAGAAACACAGTTCAACTTTGGTACCCATAGAGTCTGCATTAGTGGATTCAACCATCCACAGAACAAAAATATTTCAGGGGGAAAACTATGTCTATACTGAACATGTATGGACCTGTCTTGTCATACTCTAAATACAACATAACAGTAATTTATATTTGTTAGGTATATAGGTAATTTAAAGATTATTTAAAGTATACAAGAGGTATGTGTAAGTTATATGAAAATACTGTACCATTTAATATAAGGTACTTGAATACCCACAGATTTTGGTTAAATGCCATGATCCTGGCACAATCCTCCATGGGTACTTCAGAACAAGTGTAATGAAAAAAATATAGGGGTCTGGGGTAAAGATTTCTAATAAGCAGATTAGCCTAGTCAACCAATATAAAGAAAATACTTTCTCTTAAAGACTAAGTTTTTTTTTTAAGATGTAAAAAAAAAAAAAAATTTATGTATGAGTATTTGCCTGTATGTATGGACATGCACCATGTGAGTGTCTGGTGCCCAAGGTGAGCTGTCCAATGTGGGTGCTATGAACCAAATCTGGGTCCTCTGCAAGAACAGCAAGTACTCTTAACCACTAGGCCACCTCTCCAGCCCAGGATTAAGAATTTTATCACTGGGAATTTCTATCAAAACTAGGCTCAGTCTTAACATTTCCCTAAAAGACTGTAACTTTTCTAAGATGAAATGGCATGCTGGGAGAAACAAACCATAGGAGGAGTACAAAGCTCAGGAGCAAAAAGAAAAGGGGATTATAAAAATTGATTACATGGTAGGAAATGACAATACATTTAAAAAATCAAAATCAATAGGAGGTAGGAATTGACTAGGCAGTTAGGGCAAAAAGACCCCGAAGAAAAGTAGCCAGTTTCTTGGCTAAAACTCACAATGTCCTTGGGCCTCTTAGCAACATACTCTATTCCAAAGGCCAAAAATGTCACAAGTATTTGGAAGCTTGTATCTAATCCTTAAAAGATTTCAGGGTTACCTCTTCAGAGGGGGGAAATATTAGAGTAGCCAAAAGCCCCATAAAAATAAATAAATAAATAAATCAAAGAAGAAAGAGTACATGAAGTTATCAGAAAAAAGTGATAGGGAGGTATGGGAGGAGTTAGAGGCGAGGGAGTGGGCATGGATTTGATCAAAACACCTTATATGCATGTATGAAATTCTCAATAAATTTTTTTTTTTTTTTAAAAAAAGAAGAAATCAGCCACCATGATGTTGATGGTGCCATTGCTGAACCTTCCTGATGACTGAAAGAAAAAAGAAATAAAACAAGAACATTGTTGGGTTAAGAAAAAAAATGGCAGGATAAAAACCCATCAGTCTAGCACATACTTCCTTTAAAAAAAAAATCAAAATCATTAACTGCTAAGATTAATAGATCCCAAAAGATATTTAGCAAATTAATTATAAACTATTCTGAAAAATATCAATCTAATAAATGTGCACTTAAGGATAAAAGTATGAGCTGGAGAGATGGCTCAGAGATTAAGAGCACTGGCTGCTCTTGCAGAGGACCCCGGTTCAGTTTCCCATATGACAGCTAACAACCATCCATAGCTCCAGTTCCAGGGGATCTGACACTTCTTCTGATCTCTGTGGGCACTGCATGACACATATGCAGGCAATACACTCATACACATAAAATAAAAATAATAAATAAAATATTTTTTAAAAAAGGATAAAAGTATGCCAGGTGTGGCTCATGCCTTTAATCTTAGCATCTGGAAGGTAGAGGCCAGCAGATCTCTGTGTGATTGAGGCCAGTCAGGTAGGACTACAGAAAGACCCTGTCTAAAAACATAAAAAAACATAAAAACAAACAAAAAAAAAGGTTAAAAGAAAATATCATACCTGTATTTTGAGCATTCTAAAAAATTCTAGTTGACCATTTTTAGAAAAACGAACCAGAAATGAAGAAGTTCCAAGAAGCATAACTGATTATTAGAGCCAAAAACACTTTATTACTCTAGTCATTTTACCGGTTTAAAAAAAAAAAATTAGCCAGGCATGGTGGTGCGTGCCCTTAGACACAGCATTCAGGAGGCAGAGGCAGGCCGATCTCTATGAGTTCAAGGCCAGCCTGCACTACATAGCAAGTTCCAGGTCAACTGGAGCTACAGAGAGACCCTGTCTCAAAAAAAAAAAAAAAAAAAAAAAAAAAAAAATGGCGCTGGAGAGATGGCTCACCAATTAAGAGCACTGACTGCTCTTGCAGAGAACCCAGGTTCAATCCCTAGCACCCACATGGCAGCTAAAAACCATCTGTAACTCCAGTTCCAGGGAATCCTATGCCCTCTTCTGACCTCCTCGGGCTTTGCATGAAACAGGTGTGCCTATATGCATACAGGCAATATATTCATATACATAAAATAAAAATAATAAATAAAAAAAAAATAGGGCTGGAGATAGCTCAGCGGTTAAGAGAAGCCAGGTTCAATTCCCAGCACCCACATGGCAGCTAAATGCCATCCATAACTCCAATTCCAGGGGATCCAATACCCTCTACTGACCCCCAAGGCACTGAACAACATGGGTGCATTTACACATATGTAGGCAATACACTCATACACAAAAACACTCATACACAAAATAAAAATAAAATAGTTAAAAAAAAAAAAACAAAAAAACCTTAAGCCCACAATGGTTAAGTGACTTGCCCAAAATCACAAAGCTGGTTGGTGGCAAAGCAGACCGTCATCTCTAATCTCCAGGGAGCTGTTCAGTACTGCCTTACAGTATTTTTAGCTGAGTGAAAGTGAAAAGTGATTAAGTCTTTTATCAATTGAAATATAAGAAGGTTGCACCGGACGTGGTGGCACACCCCTTTAATTCCAGCACTTGGGAGGCAGAGGCAGGTGGATCTGAGTTGGAGGCCAGCCTAGCTGACACAGTGAATTCTAGGCCAGCTGGGGCTACAGGGAGACCTTGTCTCAAAAAGATCCCCCGCCCAAAAGAATCAGAACAGATGATGAACTCAAAGCTTGAGACAGTTAATCTCTGTCTACCTGCCTGGATTTAGAATCACCTACGGGATTGAGGCCATACCCTTTGGGAATATTTGTATTTCCAAAGAGGCCAGGGAGAGATCCTCCCTGAAGACGCATGGTACCACTTTATGGTCTGGGGTCTAGAGGCAAAATAAAAGAGGAAGCAGGAGAAAATGAGCAGACCCCCAGCAACCGCTTTGCTCTGCTTCCTGGCTCACTATGACGTGAACTGTTAGCTCTTCTGCCATGTCCTCCCCACCATAACAGACTGAATATTCTCAATGCAGGAGCAAAATAAACGCCTCCTGATTTGTACTCCAGGTATTTTGGTCATAATTATAAAAAAGCTAACTAATACAGTAGTTGAGAGAACGACCACCATAGTCCATTATGTCAAAGATTATAAATGAGTTGAAGAGATGCTTACCTAACAAGTACTAGAATGAACTCTTAAGAGTACAAAATTAATACCATTAAGGAAAACTATCTCAGGCAGCACTCCTACAACATACTTTTCTTTCTGACTGCTACCATGCAATAGTTTCTCCATCAGTTCCATCTCTAAAAGCATCAAAGGAAAAAAAAAGTTCCCCAGTAATTTCGAGCAATGTAGAATGATTAATACCCATGAGATGCTATCACATTTGAAATGCAAAGGAGAACAACAAATGAAATTCATTACCCTAAAGTAAATAAGAGCTTAAAAAGCTTAGACAAAATTATCACTGGCAAAGCCATTAAAATGATGACTCTGACATCCTGGAAAACAACCTTAAAGGTCCTTGAGCTTCTATGATAGTCAAGGGGCTGGACAGACTGTGGACTACCCAGATGGCACACATTATGCACTCTTGTAACCTAGCTGGTGGCTTGGTGGCAAATACCTTTAGAATGCTCTGTTTCTGGATGCAAGACAATCCGGACATATTTAAGAGCACCAAATTGCTGGAGAAGCTCCCCAAGTTCTTCTTCCTCTGAGTCAAATGAAAGGTTTCTATGGAAAAAAATCCAGATCAAGAAAGGTCAATGACTAAGTAAGATCCTGAGTTTCAGTTCAAGGCACATGAATTAGACATCAACTAGGATGGCTCAGTTGTTCACAACCATCCTCCCTTGTACAAAAATAGCATCAAAAATAGTATATGAGTGGCCCCCAGTAGACAGACCTCTGCTATGTGACTCTGTCCCTTGGTCCTCTGTCCTTCCTATATCAATCCCTGCAGCAAACTGAATCTCTCATCTAGTAATTTGAAACTTAAATACACACGAAAATTTTGCTTAGCGACAGAAAACATGTATGCCTTCATTTAAAAAAAAAAAAAAAAGCATCCCAGAGAAAAGACTCACAATCTCCAGCAGCAAAAGTGCACAGCCGTCCACATTCTCATATCCTTCTTGGCAACTCTGACTCATGAACCAATCAGTGTTTACCCAACAAATCCCCTTTTTCTTTTTTGGGGGGGGGTGGGGGCGGGTCTTTTTGAGACAGGGTCTCCATGTAGCCCCAGCTGGTCTGGAACTCACTATGCAGATCAGGCTGGTCTTGAACTCACAGAGATCTGCCTGCCTCTACCTACCAAGTGCTGGGATTAAAGGCGTGCACTACCATGCCCCTCACAAATCCCCTTTTTTCACATATAAGGTACCTAAATTAGTTTCTTTTACTACAATCAGAAATTTTCACAACGTAGTGAGCAAAGTTCTCCATAGCATTAAATAGCCATTTTCCCCTCTATATTACTATGTAGCCAGGTTTCAGTTAAAATTTTCCAAAAGTTAAAAAAAAAAAAATCCTTCAACGATCACAAGGTAAGTAGGGGGTGGGGGCAGAGAATAGGAGCTGTATGTTGAATGACCTTACTCTGAAGATCCAAAACTTTTTTTTTTAAGGTAGGCTTATCTTTATTTTTTTAATTATTTATTTAATAACCACATAATTAGAAGAAGCATTTCATTACAACAGCATTGACATATTCAATAACAATTTCCAGAGCTAAGATGTATCTCTTTCAAAATTGGTTGAAAATTTTTAGGTTTACAGTTAGATTAATACAGTTATACAATGTTGTACTCAGTATAAACCCTATAAGACATAAAACTGAATGAGGTTTTAACCTTTAAAAAAGATCTCCATTTCATTTTTAAATACACTGTTTCATACAGAAAAACTCATTTTTTTTTTTTAAAGGCGTGCGCCACCATGCCCGGCTTTTATTATTTTTTATTTATGTGTATGAGTGCATTGCCTACATGTATGAGAGTGCACCGTGTAATGCAAAGCTGCAGAGGTCAGAAGAGGGCTTTGGATTCCCCTGGAACTGGAATTAAAGACGGTTCATAGCCACCATGTGGGTGCTGGGAATTGAACCCAGGTCCTCTGCAAGGGCAGTCAGTGTTCTTAACCAGTAAGCCACCTCTCCAGTCCCAAACTCATTTTTAATGCAACTAATGCTTAGATGTTTGCACACGTGTCTCTAATCTCCGTATAGATTGTTACTAGTCAGTTGGTTGCTTTCTGAGATCCCTGGCACCTGAGCATGGATATAAAGTCATCAGGTAGATTTCAATGGTAATGTTTTTCACATCTACTAATTAACATGAAACAAATTTTTATGCTTCTTCCTCAAATATAATTTTTAATTTATTGATTTGTGTGTGTGTGTATTTCATACAGAACATCCCAATCTTATTCATCTATATCTATATACTATACATCCCAAGTGGCACCCTCCCATACACCCACCCGCCACTGGAATCCATATACTCAGTCATCCCTGTTACTGTCCACTGTGTTTTCAGTGCCCACAGCCATTACCCAGTGCTTGTCCATCTGCTGAGTCTAGTCAGCCTATCTAGAGTTCCTTGTTTTAGGAAGATCAGTTCTTCCTCACCTAGCAGCACTCGGTTGCCAATATTCCTTTAGATTAAGACTGGAGTCTGTTGTTCATTTTCCCAGTTCTATGCTGGGTTACTGTCTGGGAGTCTCTTGGGCCACCCTGGACAACAACTCAAAGGAAGGTATCTCCTGTCTGGCATTGTTTCTCGTTATGTAGGCTTTAGCTATACAGATGGACTCTTAAAAGAATTATATTGATCCCTTTAATCTTTGGTCATACTTTCCTTTTGAGTGTAAGACCATATAGTTGGCCCAGATTAACCAATTTATTTTTACTCTTAAGGTCATTTGAGGATCTGTTCCTCAAGGGTCACATGGGCTTGGGAGGAGTCCCTGGCTCCTTTCTTTTACCAGTTCCGCCTTTGTGAAGATAAGTCAAAGGTCCTGCTCAACAGTGGATGGCTTCACCTGGAAGTATGAAGCCAGGTGAAATGTTTCCTCTGTTGTGACCCTCCTCTTTATAGACTAGACACTAGTTCAAGTCCATCTGGTGGTCTCCATGGCCTCCCTGATCAAGACAGGTGACTCACCACAGTTACAGGACATTTTGAGAGATGCTCCATAGTCCCCTGGAACTTAGTCGACCTTGGAGGGCAAGGAGCAAAAACTGTCCTTTAAGTCCCTCTGACCAAATTAGTATAGGCCTCAAAGTATGGCTGTTAAACATCCAAGGTTAGTTCCACCAGTCTAGTACTTTTAATTACCATGTGCTATGTAGATAAAGCTTGGGCAAAGACCAAAGATTCTCAGATAAACCTTGACTAGACATATATTATGTTCCTTGAGCTAGTTGTATGGATAATTTTTCAGTAGATTGTTGGACTAATATGGGTCCCTCTGGTTTTTTTAAAAATTAGCTCTAGGCATTATTTATCTCTCACATTATCTAACCCTTCCACCATGGTTTTCCCATTTAAAGTGCCCCATTTTTCCCATTTCTCCCTTAAAAATACCCTTCTCCTATGCGCCCACCTCTCTTGAGCTCCTTCTTTCCCTTTATCCCCAAGGTTCTTTATATAACCCTCCCTCCCCCTCCCCTTTATTAACACCTGTTTCCTACTGTTCTTCTCTTTTAGATTCTTTCTTTTCCTTTACCTCCCTGATTCCTTTTCATTATCCTGGTTCCTGTAGTTATGTCTGGTTACATACTTATCAGAGTCTGGTTCTAGGATCCACATGAGTCTGGTTCTAGGATCCACATATGAGGGAGAACATATGTCAATTTTTTTTCTGAGTCTGTGTTACTTCACTTAGTATAACAGTTTCTAGTTCCATCCATTTACCTGCAAAATTTCATGATTTTATCTTTCTTTACTGCTGAGTAAAACTCCATCATATAAATGAACCACATTTTCATTATCCACTTGTCAGTTGAGGGACACTTAGGTTGCTTTCATCTTAGTTATTGTGAAAAGAGCAATAAACATGGATGTAAAAGTGTCTCTGCAATAGGATAAGTTCTTTGGGTATATGCCAAGGAGTGGTATAACTGGGTCAAATGGGTAGGTTCATTTGTAGTTTTTTAAGGGTTCACCACACTACTTTCCATAAGGGTTGAACCAGTTTGCAGCCCCACCAGCAATAGATGAGTGTTCCCTTTTCCCCACATCCTCTCCAGCATTTGGTATCTTTTATTCTCTTAATCTTAGCCAGTCTGACTAGGGTAAGACGACATCTTAACGTGGTTTTAATTTACATTTCCCTAATTACTAAAGATGCTGAACACCTTTTAAGATGCTTCTTAGCCATCTTTATTTCTCTTTTGAGAACTCTCTGTTCAGTTCCTTAGCCCATCTTTTAATTGAGTTACTTCCTTTCTTGTTTTTGAGTTCGTTATATAGTCTAGATGTTAAACCTCTGTCAGATGTGTTGCTGGTGAAGATTTTTTCCCATTCTGTGGGTTTTCTCTTCACTTCCTTGGATGCTTCTTTTGATGAACACAAGCTTTTTAGTTTAACGAGTTCCCATTTGTTGATTCTTGACCTTGTTTCCTGAGCAATTGATGTCTGGTTTAGAAAATCGTTTCCTACACCTATTATCTTATAGGTTATTGCCAATGTTTTCTTCTAACAGTTTCAGAGTTTCAGGCTTCACATTGAGGTCTTTGATCCACTTGGAGTTGACTTTTGTGCAGAGTGAAAGATAGGAGTTTACTTTCATTCTTCTACAGGTGGAGATCCACTTTGCCAGCACCATTTGCTGAACATGCTGACTTTCCTCCAGTGAATGTTCTTGACCCCTTTGTCAAATATCAAGTGGCTGAAATTACATGTACTCATATTTGGGTCTTCAATTTTGTTCCATTGATCTACAGGTCTATTTTTGTGCCAGTACCATGTTGTTTTTATGATTATGTCTCTGTAATACAGTTTAAAATCTGATATAGTAATCCCCCCAGCATTGCTCTTAGTGCTCAGGGTTGCTTTGACTATCCGAGGTCTTTCATGCTTCCTTATGAATCTTAGGATGTTTTTTTTCCAATTCTGTGAAGAATGTCTTGGGAATTTTTACTGGCATTGCATTGAATCTATAAACAGCTTTTGGTAGGATGGTCATTTTCAGAATATTAATCCTTCTAGCCCATGAGCATGGGAGGTCCTTTCATGAAGATCTAAAACTTTTACAGTCACTTTTTTTTTGTTGTTGTTCTTTTTGAAGCAGGGTCTCCCTGTAGCCCCAGCTCTCCTGAAACTCACTATGTAGACCAGGCTGGCCTTGAACTCACAGAGATCCGCCTGCCTCTGCCTCCAAAGTGCTGGACTACAGGCGTGGGCCACCATGCCCGGCTCTGTCACATTTTTATTTAGAGCATGTGTGTGTGTGTGTGTGTGTGTGTGTGCATGTGTGTGCGCATGTGTGTGCTCATAGAACACGTAGTAATCAGAGGACAACCTGCAGGAATTGGTTCTCTCCTTCTACCATGTGGATCCTGAAGATGAAACTCAAGGTTGTCAGATTTGGTGTCAAACACCTTTACCCCCTGAGCCATCTCACTGACTGTCTTGCAATGTGTTAAGGCTAACCTGAACTATGAAAATGCCCATCTACTGCAATCAATAGGGCTGAAATAGTAACAACAATAGGCAATGAAACCTATTTCCACTCTCTATATCCCCATGGAAACAGAAGGCATATATTACTGTATTCTAGACATTACTTTAAAGGAGAACTTAGGGGCTAGAGATATAGCTCAGCTAGTAGAATGTTTGTCTAATATATACAAAACCCTGGGTTTGATTCCCAGCACCACATAAACTGGGCATGGTGGTATACACCCATAATACCAATACTCAGGAGGTAGAGGCAGGAGGATCAGAAATTCAGTCACCTTGGCTATATAGCAAGCTTGAAGCCAGGCTGGGATACATGAGACTCTGTCTCAAAAACAAATAGAAATAAACAAGAGAAATAATCTAGAACAAATGATGTCATCCCAAGTATTTCCCCTAAAGGCCAGAACCAGTTGATTTGAATTATGTTCCAAAAATTGCCACCCCAATTACAAAGAATGAAATCTAAAAAGGACAAGGACCTGTCTTCTGCTTTAAGTTCTTACGCTCCTACATTTCTCACTGGTTTTGGTCCCTCAGATCAGATGTGCTAAATGATCTGATAGAATCTACCTTTCGTGCCAGAGACTGGGATGAGGGGAGAAAATGAAAGGGAAAAGGGAAAGGGGAGAGGGAGAGAGGAGGATCAAGGGGAATGAGGGAAAGGCTAGGAAGGAGAGGAGACCTTTTCAGACTTTGTAAACATTAGTTTTGGCACAAGGCATACCTGATAAAAACTGTTTTCCCTTCATTCACATCAGAGGGTAACTTCTTTTTCTTTGAGACTTGTACCTCTAATATTTGAAGAAAAGAAAAAAAAGAAAAGCAATTCAAAAAAAACTAATGCAAGCCATATGACAAAGGGCTAACTTCTGAAATATTTTGTATAAATTAAAATTTTTTCAATGGATAAAAGATATACAGTTTAATATACTAAAAGATGCTCAGACTGAAAGGAAAACAAAGCACAGGAGCTGGGGGTGTAACTCAGTGGTAGCATGCATGTTTAGCATAAACAAAGACATAAATGCAATCGAGGAGGAGGAGGAGGAGGTGGAGGAGGAGGAGGGGGAGGAGGAGGGGGAGGAGGAGGGCATCATTGACATCAGAAAGAAAAGCAGGATTCAAGAAATGAGATAGTACTTTTTATTCAGATTAGCAAAGCCAAGAAAACTGAAGGAACCCGATGTGGTAAGGGTATGAGAGGGAAAACTCCCATACACTGCTGTGTCCATATAAACTAGAACTTTTGAGGGGAAAGCACACATATATATTCGTATATGTGCATATGCATGATTTATAATGTGTTAAAATGTTCTTTAGGTATATAAGAAAATCTGGTTGTCTCTGGGAACGTGCCTTAAGAAGCTTAGGAGAGTCACTGCTTGAAGAATAAATACTGAGGCAGGTGTGGTAACTCATGCTTATAATCCCAGAATTTGAGAGGCTGAGGAAGATTTCAAGTTCAAGGTTAGCCTGGGCTTCATAGCGAAACCCTATCATTAAAAACTAAACAAACACCAGGTGTGGTGACACACACAGGCGATAAGATCCAGGCAAGCCTGCTCTACATAGTGAGTTCGAGGCCAGCTGGAGCTGCAGGAAGACCTTGTCTCAAAAACAAACAACAAAAAAATCTGTGAGATCAAGGCCAGCCTGGTCTATAAAGTGAGTTCTAGGCCAGCTGGGGCTACAGGGAGACCCTGTCGCCAAAAGGAAAAAAAAATACACACACACAAAACTCCAAAAACAGTACACAAAAGTATTGTGGAAAAACAAAGATTTGGAGGGAGATTTGGACTGATGTGAAACTTTCTATATTAAACTCTTCTGTATTTTTTAACATCCACTCGTTATCATACCTTTCCCACAAGTTGTTTAGATGAAAGAATGATAGGAGGTAGTTGACTCTGGGCTGTGGGCTACAGGGTCTCACTGTTCGTTCAGTGTAAAAGCTTAGCTTTTATTCTCATGAAAAAAAAAAAGTTTATTTCCTTCATATTTTTACATGGTCAAATCAACGTGCCAGACTTACTAAAATGGAAGCAAAACGGCTGAATAAAAACATCTACACAGACAAACCCAAGGACCAATTACTGGCCATCTCTCATTCTATAACGACCTGCCTTACTCAGTAAATAGGTTTATTCTCAATAAAGATAGCAACAAGAATTGATAAGAGTTTTACAAAATGCTCCCAGAAGTCCTTGTTATGAACTGAACTATGTCTCTCCAAAATTCATATACTAAAGCCCTTAACTCCTGAGGTCATAACATTTGGAAACTTTAGAGAGGTAATTAAAGCTAAGTGGAGTCACAAGGGCAAAATCTTAATCTAATAGGACTAGTATCCTTACAAAAGGAGGAAGAAAGACCAGAGTTTATTTTTTTCTTTCCCTGACAGAAAAAGGCTATGTGAGGACAGCGAGCAGGGAACAGTTTACAAGGCAGGAGGAGAGCATCCTCAGGGACTAATCCACTGGCACTTTGGTATGAGAAAATCTAACCTCTAGAATGGTGATAAAACAAAATTATTTAAATCACTTAGCCTATGGAATTTTGTTATGGCAACATGAGTTATTTCCATTTCAACTCAAAAGAGGTTTGGGGTTTGTTTTTTGTTTTGTTTTTTCAGTCTTTTTGAGACAGGGTCTCCCTGTAGCCCCAGGTGTCCTGGAACTCACTATGTAGACCAGGCTGGCCTTGAGCTCGCAGAGATCTGCCTGCCTCTTTCTTGGACAAAACTTGAAGAGGTGCAGACTTGTGTTGTTGGTGTAAAAATCCCAGGTCTGTTCTTTAGCAGTTGAAAACTTACTCTTTTCCCCCTTCAGAAGGTTTGTTAATGCCTTTTTCTTTTTAATAAATTAACTGTGGATCAGGATCTCATATTTAAGGTTTTCTGAAAGGGATATGACTATTTTTACAAGTTCCAGTTACTAGAACTTTGCTGAGCCGCTCCCTTTGCCTCTTCTACATGAAGTGGTGTCTTGATTTCTGAACCCCCTTGATTCAAAGGCAGGATTCTTCAGAAGTCACCAGCTGCAGAAGAATTGCTTGTTTCCGCCACCACGCCTGGCTGGGTTTTTTTTTTTTTTTTAACTTACTTTATCCCCATCTCAACTCAAAAGAGTTTTTTTAACCTACTTTCATATAAACATGTAATATATCCTATTTATCGCACTATTCATCCAACTTAGACAATCAGAAGTCATAGCACTATGTGAAAGAGGCCCAGGCAGAACTGGTGTGCATTTCTCAGTAACTGATTTAAAGCTAGGTTTTAAATTCCCTAAAAAAGTCTTACTTCTCAAATTTCACTCCAAATTTCACTTTTTAAAACAAAGCAAAAAAAACAAACAGGCTCAGGATGTAGCTCAGTTGGTAAACTACTTGCCTAGCATGCACAAAGCCCTGGGTTGAAGCCCTAGAGAGGCATAAACTGGGTATGATGGTGCACACCTGTAATCTCAGCACCTTGCTGGTGGCGTCAGGAGGATGAGTTCAAGATCATCCTTTGGCTACATACCAATTTTGAGGCCAGCTTGGGCTATATGAGATCCCATCTCAAAAATGAGAAAAAGACCCAGGTGTGGTTGCGCATGCCTTTAATCCCAGCACTTGGGAAGCAGAGGCAGGCAGCTCTCTTGAGTTTGAGGCCAGCTTGGTCTACATAGCAAGTTCCAGGCCAGCAGAGGCTACAGGGAGACCCTGTCTCAAAAACCAATAAAAAAAAGAGAGAAAAAGAGAGAAAGAGAAAGAAAAAAAGCACACAAAGAAATGAAAATAAAATTTCCTTGTCAGCATATAACAAAAAATTGATAGAAAAACTATGTGAAAGAGGGCCAGGCAGAACTGGTGTGCATTTCTCAGTAACTGATTTAAAGTTGAAAGACATTTATGAAGATCCAGGCAAACCTTCACCCTCTTGCTCTTCAGCGCTGCTCTCACTCTGCACCAGTGCTTCCCCACTGTCAGTGCTCCCTCCTTCCTCCAAGTCACTGTCCTCTTCAGAACAGTCTTCGTCAATGTTTTCTGCAGAAGTTGCTTTCTTGACTGCTCTGCAATGGCACAGTTCAGATCTAATGATCTGGCTGACAGAAACTACTGAATTTCACTATACATGCCAAGTCTGCAATGAAGGGGACAGGGAAAGCAGGAGTATTTTCCTCTCAGGAAAAATCCCATGTCTGCCCCTAATGTCTCAGAATGTGCCTACCTCTTCTGAATTTGCACATGCGTGATCACCTTGGATTCTTTAGTCTCCTCTTCATCTTTTTCCTCACTGTTACCATCATCATCGTTTTCACCATCATCATCTTCTTGCTCTTCTACCCTGCCATTCTTTTTCACTGATTCCTGATGTTTAGGTTCATAGCTCTTCTCTGCAACTATGGAGGAAGATAAAGAAAGGAATTCATTTAATATGTAAAACAGGTTATTTTAACAGGAGTAACTAATATTTCAAGTTTCTAGTTTCTTCGGTTTTTTTAGACTTTTGTATTTTTCCTTACTATATGTACAGTTGGCTCCTCATATCCATCGGTTCCACATCCTCAGATTGAACCAACCACAGAACAAAAATATTTTTAAAATACTGTGTCTGTACTGAATATGTGCATTATCTTGTCATTGTTCCCTGAATAATTCAGCATAACAACAACTATTTACATAGCATTGCATTGTATTACATATTACAAGTAATCTAGAGAGGATTTTAAATGTATGAAAGAAATGCATTGATTCTATACAAACCTATACTATTTTACATAAGGAATTTGTAAAGGGTATCCAAGGAGAATCTGTGAAACAATTCTTCACAGATACGAAGAGATGATCGCAAACAAGTAAACAAAACCCTTACCACCCAAATTAGATTCCTCTGGACTTTGTCTTTCTCATCAGGAGCCTGAAGGTTAACCTGGCCCAGAATGGGAGAAATAGCAGCCAAAGCTCTGCAAACAGCCCACTACAGCAAATACAATGCTCATTCTGAGCCCTGCCATGAATTTTAGTCTCAGTAGTCTCTGAGACCCTGGTGGCTTAAAAGTATTTGTTTCTCTGTTCTTATTGGTGTATTACTATCCGTGAAAAGCTGAGAAAAGAGCAGTTGAGAGAAGAAGGAACAAACCCTCCTCACATGAGCTCATGCATCAGGAGTGGTTTTAGACTCAGAAGATCCTGTGTCTAGGGATCAGATCACCAGACAGTTCCATATGAATTGACAAGTAGTCCTAGGCTCATTTCTGAACTCATGGGAATTTGGAGACTTTCCAGCATGCTTTGTCTTATTCTTTTAGCTAATCGTGTGCTCCGGCTATCTCCTCAATATTATCACTCTGATAAGCAGGCTCCCTTACACTTTATCATAAACACAAGAGTCATTTCCATCCTCCCACCCAAAATATACAACCTTCCTACCCAACACTAGCACACCTTACCTGGGGCAGAAGCATGCTGGGTATCTTTGTATTTATCCTTTGCCACAGCCCAATCCACAGCCACAGTCCGCCCTGTCAAACAGAGAGGTGGTATTAGAAAGACTTTTCTCCTTTTAACAGCCCTACTTCCTACCCTGCTCTTACAAGGACCAGGATCCAGTTCCCAGCACCCATATAGTGACTAAAAAACATCCATAATTCCAGTTTTAGGGGTTCCAACATCCTCTTCTGCCCTTTGTAGACATTGCATGTACATGGTGTACTTGCATACATGCAGGCAAAGCATTTGTATACATATAATTTTTTTTTAAAAAACTCCCAGCTGGTAGCACACACCTTTAATCCCAGCACTAAGGAGGCAGAGGTAAGCAGATCTCTTTGAGTTCAAGGCCGGCCTACTACAAGATACTGTCTCAAAACCAAAACAAAACTATAAATGCTCCCAGAAGCTCTTTTTAAACCTTAACTCTTTTAACAATCAATATAAAATTCACTTTTCTACACAGCCACCACAGCTTGGATAGTATGAAGTAAACAAAGAAAGATTTGTACCTCTTTCTGGTTATGCTAGCAAGAAGCAAAACAGGCATTCTGGGAAAAAAAAATGGACCTCCTACCTCAGAAGTTAGGAAGTAACTAAGCTAACCCTTCTTTCAGCACAGTACCTGATAATACCAAGAATAGAGTCAGTTACTGTAACAGCCATGGCTGTTGACTAGTTGTCACAAACAAAAAAGAGGGTCCTGGGGCTGGAGAGATGGCTCAGTAGTTAAGAGCACTGACTGCTCTTGCAGAGGACCCAGGTTCAGTTTCCAGCACCCACATGGTGGCTAACAACCATCTGTAACTCCAGTTCCAGGAGATTCAATGCCCTCTTTTGACCTCCAAGGGCACTGCATGACATGGGTGCACTTACACACACACAGGCAATATACACCTATACATTAAAAAAAACAAACAAAAAAAAAAACTAAAAGAGGGTCCTAGAAATCAACACGCACCTATCAAAGGTTATTTCCAGGATGCCCATTACGAACTTCAAAAGACACTCATACCAAAAGAAGGAAAGAACCCTGGCATGAGCTCTGTCAAATTTAACCTAAGATCAAATACCTCAAAAATTTCATCAAAAACTGGCTATGGTGGTACACGCTTGTAATCCCAACACTCAGGATTGTGGAGGAAGAAGAATCAGAAGTTCAAGGTCATCCTTGGTTATTTAGGAAATTCAAGGCCATCCTTGGCTACATGAGCTACTATTTTAGCAGTAAGATTCTCCATAGTGCAAACATCTTTTGAACACACAGAAAAATGGGTTACAGGGTGAATTCACCCATGCACCAGAAATATTTGGGTCATGATATGAGTACAGAAAACTTACCTCTTATCTCTTTCATATTCATGCCTTTGAGAGCTTTTCCTGCTTCTAGGAGGTTTTTGAACTGAACAAAAGCAAAACCACGCATCTTTCCATCTGTGTACAAATGTACAAAAAGTTAAGAGGCAGTGGGAGAAGCCAACAGAACAGGAAGAAGATTACAGCAACTCGGGCTGACAAGGCCTGCCATCAGCCAGGAGGTCCCTTCCCCAAAAGCAACAGTGTCTGTCCTCCAGTTGGATAGACCCTGACTCAGTCCTGAGAGCAATGAGACAGTCTGAAGCCCCGCATGGTGGCACACACCTTTAATCCCAGCACTAGGGAGGCAGAGACAGAGGCAGGTGATCTCTATGAGTTCCGGGTCAGCCTGGTCTGTGAGTTCCAAGACATCTGGGGCTACAGGGAGACCCTGTCTCAAAAAGACCAAAAACAAACAAACAAACAAACAAAACTCAGTCTGAAACAGCTAAAAATACCATCAAGGGAACAGCACTATCATCTGGGCTTTCACTACTTGTACTATGCCAAATACTTCATAAATATATTGTCTAGGGTTCACAAATAGCATGACAGAAAACTGTATTTATAGTTCAACAATATGGAAAAGATAACAATAAATAATCTTCATCAAATCTACACCAAATGAAGGTGTACTAGTACCTGTCTTCCTTGGGATATTTACTTCCAGAACAGTTCCATATTGAGCAAATACTGTTTTCAAGTCATCTTCTGAACACTGAAGCCAAAAGTGAAAAAGAAAAATGAGAAACATTATCACAACAAATAAATATGAAACACCAACTACTAAGTTCATTTGCTAGAAAGAGTGAATATTTTTATTACTTTTTTTACTTTCAAAGAGTAGGACAGCAGCCTGGTATGGTGGAACACACCTTTAATCCCAGTACCTGGGAGGCAGGGGCAGGCAGATCTCTGTGAGATCAAGGCCAGCCTGATCTACATAATGAGTTCCAGGCCAGCTAGAGCTACAGGGAGACCTTGTCTCAAAAATAAATAAATAACAACCTCCTCCAACAAAAAAACAAAGACTAGGACAGGAAACAGCTGTGAACAAATGACAGCTTACTTTTTATACAAGAAGCCAAGAAAAAGCCAGACATGGTAGGTAGGGTATACCTGTGATCTCAGGACTCAGGAGATGGAAGTAGGGGGATCAAGAGTTCAATGCTGCCAGGCCTGGTGGCGTACACCTTTAATCACAGCACTTGGGAGGCAGAAGCAAGTGGATCTCTGTGAGTCTGAGGCCAGCCTGGTCTACACATTAAGTTCCAGGCTAGCTGGTGCTACAGGGAGACCCTGTCTCCAAAAAAAAAAAAAAAAAAAAGAGTTCAAAGCTAGCTTTGGCAAGTTCGAGGCCTGCCTAAGCTATAAGACACTGTCTCAAAAAAGAAGGAGAGAAAAAAAGAGGCTGAAAAGCCATTCCCTTTCTCAGTAGTGGCTTCCCTAAAAGGAAAGCATCTTCAACTTAGTGTCCTTAATAAGTTATTTTTTTCATTACTTTATTTTGTGAGTATGGGGAGAGGGAGGCATGCATGCTCATGAATATGGAGGTCAGAGGACAACTTAGAGTAGATGGTTTTCTCTTTCCACCAAGTGGGTTCTGGAGATCAACCTCAGGTTATCAGCCAAGAGCCTTTCTGTTGAACTACTTTGCCACCCTTAGTAAGTTCTTATTTATATAGGCCCAATTTCTCTGCTCAACAGACTAAAGTTCATTCCCAAGATAAATTAAGTCCAATGATAAATGCAATCTTGAATAAGGAATTCCACCAATTAGCATGCCTTGATTCCAGCATCCTTCAGAACATACAATTAGTCCATGGTCACTTACCTTAAAGCTGAGGTTCCGGATAATTAGTCTGGCTTTCTTATCTGCCACTTTGGCTTTCTTGGCCTTTGGCTCCTTCTTAGGAGACTCTGAATTTTCTAAAAAGTAAGAGACATGGGATAAATCTGAGACCCACTTGTAGGCTAGACATCAGAGGGAAGAAAGGTACTAGTAATAGCATTTACCATAGAGTCAAGTATGCAATATCTAGAACAGATTTTCCAGACTGAGAAGCAGGCAAATGAATATCAAAACACACGGAAGAGTTTTGACATCAAAAAGAAAACCAGTAAGTCTTAAGTTCTGGAAGCCACCTCCAGGCTACTCTGCCTTTCACTTTCAGCATTCCTCCTCACCCTGGGAGAAGTGCTAGAAACTCACCATTTTTCCTCTTTTCCTTGGACTTGTTCCTCAGTTTTTTCTTGGCAACAGTCACATTGATCTTGCAACCTTCAAAGGTGGTGATCTCCTTAAGGGCCCTCTGACCATCTTCCAGCATTGAGAAAGTAACATAGCCAAAGCCTCGACAGGCCTTGCTCCCTGGAAGAAGGCAAGAAGGAAGGAAGTGAGGGAGTAAAAGGACAGAGAATCAGAGTCAAGAGCACCTAACCATTAAATCCTCAAAGCCCACACTAGCAGGTATTCTGCCCACCCATCCTGGGAGCCATCTACCAAAAGTTCCAAAAGAGAAAGAAAGGAGGCTGGCAAAAGTAGCTCCTTCCCCACTTTGCTCAGAATTATGAGGCTTCCTCTTTCTTCTAATATGCTATCTTGCTATTATTTCTTCTTCTTACTCCAGTCCTGATAATCTTAAGAATATGATGGACTCATAATACACATTAGGCCCCCAGAGAAGAACTTGACATCAAAGTGAAAGACCATCAGGAATGGCAGGAAAGATACATTATGGTAGGTTTGAAAAATCAGATTATAACAATGTATTTTTCTTAAAAGAGATCAGTAATAATAACTAAGAGAACCTCAAAAAATAAATGGGGGCTGGAGAGATGGTTCAGTGGTTAAGAGCACATATTGCTCTTCCAGAGTTCAACTGAACCTGAGTTCAATTCCCAGCACCTACACTAGGGACTTCACAGCAAGATGTATCTCCAGTATGTCACTCACATATGCAACACACGTATATACAAAATTAAAATATAATAATAAAATTAAAAGCTTTTTTGTGTCTTTTTGAGAGTCTCCCTGCAGCCCCAGATGAACTAGAACTCACTATGTAGACCAGGTTGGCCTTGAACTCAAAGATCCACCTGCCTCTGCCTCCCAAGTGCATAGGATTAAAGGCTATGCCCAGTTGAAATAAAAATATTTTTAAAATAATAAACACTGCTTCAGAAGCCTGTGAATATTACTACTATATTATCAAGACCTTAGCTATCCAGTATCAAATCTTTCCAAAGCAGGTACAAGTCTCTGGCCTTATTTTAGGTTCAGAACACTCCAAGCTAGGTACTATAACCATTACCATCCTTTCTTTTCAAAGAACAATTCAAGATAGAGAAAAGTAAGTGACTGACAAAAACAGGTATTGAGTTAATTCCTCCTTACCAGCCCCATGGTCTTCCACAGGAGTCCACACAGAAGAACATTAGGACAAAAAAGATGGATAATGATATATATCAACTGTAGCATACCATGGCCTGTTTTTGTTGTTTTGTTTGAGACAGGGTCTCTCTGTAGCCCCAGCTGGTCCAGAACTTGCTAAACAGACCAGGCTGGCCTATATCTTACAGACATCTGCCTGCCTCTGCTTCCCAAGTGCTGGGATTAAAGATGTGCCCCACCATGCCCAGCAGGGACTGGTTTTGGGGGAATTTTTTGTTTTTTTGTTTGTTCTTTTGTACAGTAAAACTATATTTATTGAAAAAAAAAATTCTGCCCAAGACCTACAGAACAACTTTTGATTATATCTGAATCTTCTCCAGAGTACAGACAGGGCACTAATCCATACAAACTAGTTATAAAGCTGACACCTGGCATACTGTGACATGGAGACTGATTTCTTTCCTTTTGAAACTCCCACTCACAAAAGTCACTCACTCATCTTTCAGAAAAGACGAACAAGAAAAATTAAGACCCTCTGTCATCAGTACAACCAAAAATAAAGCTGCTCAAATGTAAAGTTCAGTGCCCAAATAAAATCAAATAAAAATTATGTCTGCACGAAGAACTCTCAAATACACTAGAATCATCACAATCCTAAAACATGACTATCTTAAGCCGGGCGTGGTGGCACACGCCTTTAATCCCAGCACTTGGGAGGCAGAGGCAGGCAGATCTCTGTGAGTTCAAGGCCAGCCTGGTCTACATAGTGAGCTCCAAGACAGCTGGGGCTACAGGGAGATCCTGTCTCAAAAAAGACCAAGAGGGGGAAAAAAAAAAAAAAAAAAAAAAAAAAAGAAATGACTATCTTAAAGTGGTCTACCACTATTATTGGGAAAAACCTCACCCTACCTCCATCCCTACCCCTCTATACAAGTGCAACACTCATGTTTCCTATTCATCTCATTTGTCTAGATAGTAGAGTGCATAGTTTTCTTAAAAGGAGGGAGAGAGATTATTAAGGCTTTAGACCAAAAACTCAAGATTTAAGGTAAGATTTCACAAAGTTTATATTCCAACAACTCAAAGGAGAATTTCCATTCATTGGCCTGTTCTTTTCTGGAACACAACTGCCTGGTATTGCATAGCAGCTTTTTTCCCCAAGTTGTTTTGACACAGGAAGAAATGCAATGTATATTAGAGCCCAGGACACATACAGATTCTTTATATAAAACTGAAATATGGTCAGGCATGGTGGTGTAATACCTGTAATCCTAGAATTTGGGAAGCTGAGGCAAAATTGAGTTCTAGGTCAGCAAGACCTTGTCTTAAAAAAAAAAAATTCTTGCAAATACTTATCCTTTATCATATATGGATATACATATGGATATACACACATTTAATTATTTTACTTCAGACAGGGTCTCCCTATAGCCCCAGCTGGTCTAGAACTCACTATGGAGACCAGGTTGGCCTCAATCTCACAGAGATCTGCCTGCCTCTGCCTCTTGAGTGCCAGGCTATTGTTGTTGTTTTTTAAAATCTAGTCAGAATCCACTTGAGATCCACTACTGGGTAATAATTTGCAGTTTAAGAAAGATTAATGTGGGGCTGGAGTGATAGCTCAGCGGTTAAGAGCACTGTCTGCTCTTGCAGAAGACCTGGGTTCAATTCCCAGCACCCACATGATGGCTAACAACTCCAGTTCCAAGGGAATCTAAATGTCTCTTCTGATCTCTGAGGGCACTGCAGGAGACTGGTGCACTTACACACATGCAGGCAATATACTCATACACATAAAATAAAAATAATAAAGTTTTTTTTAAAAAAGAAACATTAATGTTGAGGGCCAGTGAGATGGTTCAGCAGGTAAAAGGGCTTGCCATCAAGGCTAACAACCCGAGTTCAATCCCTGGTACCCACATGGTAGACAAAGAGAACCAACTCCAGCAAGTTGTCCTCTGACCTCTACATGTGCTGTACAGCACTTGTGTGTGCACATGCGCACACAAATAAATAAATAAATAAATACGTACATACATACATACATAAATGTAATAATTTCTTTTTTTAAAGAAATACTAATGTTGAACCAAGAGTGGTGGTATGTGACTATAATACCAGCACTTGGTAGGTAGAGGCAGGAAGATCAGACCAGCTTGAGCTACAGAGAACCTGTCTTTAAAGAAAAAAAAGAAAATACATTAATGTACTACAGTCTCACTCCTTCAATTATATCTATACTTAGAATGACAAAGTTAGGCAGGTGTCATGACTTAAACAGCAGTCAGAGAGCCACGTTAACAATCCTAATGATAATTTCTGTAACCAAGAAATAGAAGCTAAGAATGAAGTATTTGCACATATCAGGCTCCCTAGTCACATACTCAGAAACCATGCAAGGGAAGGAAGAGTCTCTCAGATGCCAGATCTAACAGTTGCTTTGTTGAAAAGCAAAGAGGTAGCCAGGTAAGAGATATCTGGTGAGTTGGAAGAGAGCTAAATGTGTGTTCTGGGTAACGTGTATCTATCTAGGTGCCCCTGGAGTCTTGTTAAGAGAAAGAAATGCTCCTACATTAAAACCCTTACAATTCTTTCAAACCCTAATACATGCCAACTCCCCACACTAGGTAATCTAGTGTACAACAAACAAAATGTGAAGCACATAGTGAGCCAGTAAATCTCTCCAGTGACTCAAGCCAAAACCTTAGCATCAGACCTGACTCTCTCCTTTTTGATGCCTACTCTATTCAGTAATCCTCTCAGCTTTATCTTAAAAATGTCCATATTCCAACCAACTTTTCCTACTATTGCTTTCATCTTGAGTCAATACCATTACCTCTTACCTAAATTACTCAAGAAGGCTCCAAATGGTTTCCTTGCTTCTGTTCTAGTCTCCAAACATCTATTCACAACACTGCAGCCAGAATCATTCAAAATATAAATCTGACAGACTGTCATTACTATTCTCTGCTTAAAACCAGTGGCTTCCTCACAGAAAAATAAAAGTCTGCAATGGTCTGCAAGGTCTTATCTATTGTCTTTTCTCTTCCCTTCATTCACTTCCCTCCGGTCACCCTACCACCTTCTCTCTCCTCATAAAACAAGGACATGACAGGCCGGGCATGGTGGCACACACCTTTAGTCCCAGCACTCAGGAGGCAGAGGCAGAGGCAGGCGGATCTCTGAGTTCAAGGCCAGCCTGGTCTACATAGCAAGTTCCTGGCCAGCCATGTCTACTTTAATACTCTTGAGACTGTTGCTTCTTCCATATGAACTGCTTTATCCCCTAGGAAGACTAAGTCCACTCTCTCACCTCAAGCCAGCCTTCCTTGGCCACCCTACCTACACACATATTATCACCATATAGACTGCCTTGTGTTTTGGCTGCCTTTCCCACCATGACTATATAAGCGAGAGATTCTGGTTTAGTGTTGTCCTGTATGGAATATGGGATTAAGACTCTCTGCCCTATAAGATTGTTGAGAAGATGAAATAAGATAACCTGTCAGGGGGCTGGAGAGATGGCTCAGCAGTTAAGAGCACTGCCTGCTCTTGCAGAGGACCTGGGTTCGATTCCCATATGGCGGTTACCAACCATCCTTAACTCCAGTTCCAGGGTAATCTGAAGCCCTCTTCTGACTGCCGCGGCATTGCACAACACGGGTGCACTCACATTCACGCAAGCAATACACTCATACACATAAAATAAAACTAAAAAAAATTTTAAAAACAAAAGTAAATATATATATAAACCTGTCAAACTCACCCTGCCTGGCAATCAGCTGGCTCTGAATAATCTGTATTGGTGCTTTATTGTTAGTTTTGTGGGGGTTTTGTTTTGTTTTGACAGGGCAGAACTTGGTGGGTAGACCAGGCTGTCTTCAGGACTCTCAGCAATCCTTCTGCCTCAGGCTCCTGAGTGCTGAGATTACTGGCAGGAACCAACACATTCGGTTTAGATATTAGCCAATTTCTTTGCATACGTGAACGCGAGTAATAAAGGGAAACCGCAATAGAAACTTAAGTGGATGGTCTGCATTTTATAAACCGATCCTATTGGTCCATCTACAGCAGAGTCAGTTTAGAAAAGAAACTCAAGTCCCAGTCCCTTACCTTTGGAGCAACTAAAGAACTATATACCTAGGGCCTGGCGTGCCTCACGCCTTTAATTCAAGCATTCAGGAGGCCGAAGCAGGACTGCAAGGAGTCCGAGGTCTTTCTGAGCTACAGAATAAAGCCTTGCCTCAACAAACAAAAAAACAAATAAACAAACAGTAACACAAAAACTATATAGCTCCCTGAAATTCGGGGAGGTGTTCTCGCCGCCATCCGACCCCCAGCCCTCTGCCATCATCCCGCCTCCTACCTTTCTCAGTGACCACGAAGCATTGCTTCACCGGCCCCACCTGACTGAACAGCTCCTCCAGCTGCTCACTGCGGGCGGAAGGCGGGAGGCGGCCCACAAAGAGAGTCAGACCGGCCATGAGACGGGGAAATGGGCGCGTGGTGGTACAAGCGAACCGCACCAGGGCACGCGAGGGCTCACTTTGGCCGGAAGATCAAGCCAAGTTGCCGGGAGACTCCGGAAGTACCCGGTGCTCAAAAGAGTCCGGGGTGGAAACGCAATGGGAAAGGAAAGAAAGGTTCCGGAATGAAAACTAGTGCGGTCCTGGGGGCGGAGCTTCTTGAGCGTCTGCTCTTTGCTCAGTCCCAGCACCGCCTCTGCCACTGAGGGAAACTCATCAACAATTTACTCAAAATCTCTTCACCAGGAGATCGATCCCAAATTCACCAGGCTGGCAGAAGTCGTTTTTGCTCTAGACCTTTCTCACATCTGACATATTCAATAAATATTTTCTGAAGTGTCTCCACATGTACTCTACGCGCAGAAACTTCAGCCAGAACGTCATAAAGTATGTAACACACATTATTTGGGCATTTATCATATCCTCAGAAAATATGAGAGGAATGTCACTTCGGCCTCAGTGACAAAATGTAGCTACTAAAATCTGCACAGAACAAATGTCACAAAATTATACCTTGAGTAATTATTTACTGAGCTTTACTGTGTGCCAAGCATTAGGGATAAAACTAGTTACCTGGAAAGAAGAGAGGGTCCCTGATTCATATAACATAGCCTGTAGAGGGAGACAGACATTATTTTTTAAATCGCACAAACAACCGGGAGTGGTGGTGCACGCCTTTAATCCCAGCACTCTGGAAGCAGAGGCAGGCAGATCTCTGTGAATTCAAGGGCAGCCTAGTCTACATAGTGAGTTCCCGGTCAACTGAGGCTAAAGGGAGACCCTGTCTCACTAAAGACACCCCCCAAAAAATCGTACAAACATAGCGTGCACACACAAGATCGCATCAGAACACACCCAAACCAAATATAACATTCAGCTCCTATGTAGAGACCTAGAACACAGCCCTGCCCAAAGACGGAAGAGATACAAAGTCTCACTGACCAAGAGGAGATCTGGATGCTCTTGGATCCTGGAACCAGTGTTTGCCATTCAGTGGGCTCAGTAATCATCCTATATGTAATACTGCTGCACTTGGAAAATCCTAGCAGCAAAAGGTACCCAGGGCACCTTTAAAATCATTAAAGTTATAGCAGCATGGTAGGTAGAATATGCAAGGGGTGGGGGCAGGGGATGAAAAGTACAGTGAAAACAAGCTCCCTTTCTCCCAAGAACTATTCACTTTCCATATATTTGGGGTGGGTGAATGACTGATGTAGTGGTGCAGAGAGAAAGGGAGAGAACACTGTGTGATTTATGAAGCCCTAGCTAGCTCCAAATAAATAATATGTGCTTTTAAAAGAGCCCACACCACAGATATTTTTAAATACATAAATCAGGAGACAGGGCACTGAAATACAAAACAGATTGTTAAGGCTACTAAGTTAATCCTATCCCGGAAAAAGATAATCAAATAGGCAAAAGAAATGAATTGGATCTTTTGAACAAAATTTGTTTAGGATCCCCCATTTCCCTCCCCTTAAGAATCAAAATTCTCTCCCAAAACACTAAATTGCAAGCTCTAGGGCCCCATTACAGCTGCAATAGTTACAAGAAAAAGAACCATTTGTAACACTCCCCCCAAAATGTTAAATGTCCTGAACCCATTTTTTTTTCCTTAAAGGACAAAAACCAAACTGTATCCATATGCCCATCAGGGGGCAGCAGTTACTCATAGTGCAGGGTTCTGTGCCTCTCTGAGAGAACAGAACAGTACAATTAACCTTTCTACCCTCCCCTTAGTTTAGATGTGAATCCCCATCTGTTTCCAACCCTACTCCCTCCTATCCATTCTTATCAGGGAGGGCATATGGTTCTTCAATCAAGGATATTTGTTCATCCATGCTCAGGACACATGCAGCGTTCTTTATTATATAGCAGGAGTCACGGAACCCTGCAACGTGACTTCCAAGGGAAATAAACTGCCGGACTACCCCTCATCCATCACTGTGTAGAAGCCTGGAAAGGAAAGAAGAGAAGCCTGAGGTGTTCTTAGCCAGTTTCTCTCAGGCCCCATCCCTCTGGTTCCCCCACAAACAAGCCCAACCTTCTATAATAGTTGTTGTTGGGGGAGGGAGTGTTTGTTTGCTTGCTTGTTTGAGACCAGGGTCTCAATTATGTAGCCCTGTAACTTGCTATGTAGACTAGGCTGGCCTTGAATTCACAGAGATAGGCTTGCCTCTACCTCAGAGTGCTGGGATTAAAGGCATGTACCACCATGCTCTGCCTTAGCTAGTTCTTATTCTTCAGGCTTCTCACAACTATAAATTGTGCTGATGTGATTATTTCTGTGATCAGTTAATATCTGTTTTTCCTCATCACAACATCACATATTCAGGACCTTCAATGCCTCTTAATCCCCCAAACTTAGCATATTATGAACATTCAATGAGTATTTTTTATTATTTTTTTATTTATTATCTTTTTTTATGTGTATGAGTGTATTGCCTGCATGTGTGTAAGTGCATTTGTGTCATGCAGTACCCTCAGAGGTCAGAAGAGGATTCTGGATTCCCCTGGAACTGGAGTTACAGATGGTTGTTAGTCACCATGTAGGTGTTGGGAATTGAACCAGAATTCTTTGGGGGGGATTAAGACAGAGTCCCATACTTGCTATGTAGGCCAGGCTGGCATTGAATTCACAGAGATCCAATTGCTTCTGCCTCCCAAGTGCTGGTAGTAAAAGCATGCACCACCATGCTTGACTTGGGTAATTCTTTCTTTTTTTTTTTTTTAATGTGTATGAGTGTATTGCCTGTATATGTGTATGTGCACCCATGTCATGCAATGTGCAAGGAGGTCAGAAGAGGGCATCAGATCCCCCCAGAACTGGAGTTACAGATGGTTGTTAGCCACCACATGGGTGTTGGGAATCAAACCAGAATTACTCTGCAAATAATTCTTTCTTAAATTTATTTTTATTTCTATTTATGTATGTATATAATATGTGGGGGTGCCCACAGAAGACAGAAGGAGGGCATCAGATTCTCTGGAGCTGAAGTTACAGGTGGCTATGAGCTTCCTCATGAGGGTGCTGAACTCAGGACCTCTGAAAGAGCAGAAAGTGCTCTTACCTGCTGAGCCATCTCTTCAGCTCTAGGAGTGATTCTTATAGAGGAAAAGTAACAATGTTGGAGATGGTGACTATCAAGCTATAGTCTTTTAGCCTCCTCCTTTCTCAGCAGTCCCATTCAGAGCTTTCAGAAAATGAGTGTCTGTCAGAGATAAACCGAGACAGACTGAATAAAGCGACACTAGGCTTGGACTGCTGTGCTAGGGGAATGGGAAGTACATGAAACCCAGGGGCTTCCATGAGAAGAATAAGTAAGAGAGCAGCTGGCTAGGATGAGAGTGAGGAAGAGATGACAGAGGGGAGCTAGGCACAAGCAAAGGAAAATAAGAGGCAGGTGGAAGAGAAAATGGGGGGAGAAAGAGAGCAATTCCTCAGAGCAGTAAGCATTCCTTGCATTATACAATGCAGTGCTGATGCTGGGCCCACTACAGCCACTACGACACACCAGTGAGAAATGCCTGTAATTAGGAGGTTGGCAGTTCTCTGGGCCTTAGCCCAGAGTGAGGATGCAGCAAGAATTTCTGAGCCTTGCTGAGCCAGGTAATGGAGGAGACACAGTCAGAACCACTCCAAGCCCATCCCCCAGCCTTACCTGCACCACTGCCTCCCATTTCTCTTTCTCTCCCCCTCCCCCTCCCCTCCCTCTCCCTCTCCCTCTCCCTCTCCCTCTCCTTCTCTTCCCTTCCTCCCTTTTTTCCTCTCTCTCTCTCTCTCTCTCTCTCTCTCTCTCTCTCTCTCTCTCTCTCTCTCTCCTCCAACATCCCTGGCTTCCCTCTGAGGTCTGAAGCCCTGGTTGGCCCCCCTCGGCCAAGACAGATCTTCCTCCCTAAGGACAGCAGTGTTGGATTCTCTCATTAGTGTATGAGACCCAGTCTGGCCAAAGGCCCCAGTCTCTCCTGGCCTCCCTTTCTGCCTCCCTCTTGGCCCCTAGCCCCCTTTCTCCAATCCCCATTAGCTGATGATCCAAGTTTTGCCATTCTTTTTTAATCACTAAGATTTCTGTTTTTCCACTGTGAGCCTAATGCTCCTGCACGTCTCTCTGATATACAGAACATCGCCAAACACTGTCAGGTTTTCATTTTCTTTTTCTTTTTTTATTTGTTATTTTTATTTTATGTGTATGAGTGTATTGCCTGCATGTAGATAACATAGATAAGTGCACCCATGTCGTGCAATGACCTCAGAGGTCAGAAGATGGCATCGGATCCCTGGAACTGGAGTTATGGACAGTTGTTAGCCACCATGTGGGTGCTGAGATTCAAAACTGGGTCTTCTGCAAGAACTGCCAGCACTCACCAGGCATGGTGGTGTATACCTTTAATCCCAGCACTTGGGAGGCATAGGCAGGTGGATCTCTGTGAGTTCAAGGTCAGCCTGATCTATATATATCAAGTTCTAGGCTAGCTGGGGCTACAGTGAGACCCTATCTCAGACCAAAAATGGGGGAGGGGCTGGAGAGATGGCTAAGTGGTTAAGAGCACTGACTGCTCCTGCAGAGGACCCGGGTTTGATTCCCAGCACCCACATGGAGGCCATGAACCGTCCTTAACTCCAGTTCCAGGGGAATCTGAAGTCCTCTTCTGACCTCCTCGGCATTGCACAACATGGGTGCACTCACATACATGCAGGAATATACTCATACACATAAAATAAATATAAAATAAAATATTTTGGAAGGAAGGAAGGAAGGAAGGAAGGGAAAGAAGGAAGGGGACAGTCAGTGCTCTTAACTGCTGAGCCATCTCTCTAGCCTCAGGGTTTTAATTTTCAAACCTGATCCAAGACCCTGATTTTGTGTCACTATGAACCACTCCATAAATGCACAAGATATAGAACTGGAAGATAAATGTTTCAGGGAAGGGGCAATACCATGTGTCTGGTAGGGCTGGGCATGAGCATAGGTCTCTCTGCATTGTGAGTTCTGCTTTGGAAGCTAGACTGGGTCTGGAGCAAGAGGTGGACACGGAGACAGGCATTCTCCATTGAGGATCTGAGATGAGAGTTCTGAAGGGAAAGAGGGTTGGAGTCCTTATGAACCCAGCCTCAAAGAAGCACTGTTAGTGAGTTAAGGCAGTTCCTCCTCATAAATTCTCAAGCATGGGAATTTGGAAGGCAAGTTGTTAGGGAGCCCAGTTTGAGGCAGTCAGGCCCTTTAACATGTGTGTCCAGATTTCCACGAAGGTCTTTATTATTAGCTAGTCCCCAGGAGTTATCTATCAGGTCCTGAAGCCAGACTACTAAGAAAGAAAAGCGTTTTCACCGTAGACTGAAGAATCTCTGTTTCTCAGCATGGTGCTCCTTCTTAGGAAAAGCCACTTGCCAGGGAGTCAGATGTGTCTTCCAGGGGCGACTCCCAGGACCCTCGCTTATCACAGCCACAGAACCAGATTCCTTGCTCTTATGTGGAGGACCCTGGGGGAGTCTGAGGCAGACCCACTCCACTTCTATGGACTACTGAAGTTGTAGTCCCGTTTAAGCTTTCCCAAGAAGATCAGAACATACTCCTCTGAAAATATTTTATTGATAAATTGACTCTGAAAGCACTTGCTTCCCACCCAGCTGTTGTAAGGTCTTTTGGATGGGGCATAGACCCATCTTTGAGGGAAGGTCCAATGAAGGACATGGCAGAAGTGGGTTCTGAGGATAGCCCCTCTCAGCACCAGAGTAGCGGAAAGGTGGTCAGGAGTGGAGCACCTGTGGAGTTTTATTGCTGGTGAAGACCAAGGAAAGTGGGACCCTGCCAGTCTAAATTGCAGCTGGGGGCATCAACACACAGGGCTCCAGAGAGGTTGGCACTGATTCCCAATCCACAGAGCCTGGCTGCTCACCCACTCACCCAGGGGCCCCTGGATGGAAAGGAAGTGGGGAGAAGTATCTGAACCAGGCAGAATTGGGCAATGATTACAGTGTGCAGGTCTTGGACAGAGTGGGCGCTAGAAAGGGACAAATGGTTTGGCTGTGAGATGGTAGCCTCTTCACAGGTCTATGGTGTCGCTGCCCACGCTCAGCTCGTCAATCTGTCGACAGGCATCCAAGAATTGCTCCTGTAGCAAGGCCTCCTCAGCCTGCAGCTCAGAAGCACGTTCAAGGGAGTCACGAGAGGATGGGGATAGAGCCTGGTAGGATCCTGATGCTGGGAGGCTGGGGCTGCTTCCTGAGGGCCGCGGGGGACTGAGGACGCAGACCAGCGAACAGCGGGGAGGCCTGTCAGGGCTGGAACACAGCAGCATGGACGAGCTGTCCCGTGACAACCCACACAGCGAGCCAGACGAGGCGCTGCTGACTGGGGGCCAAGCCCCAGGAGAGGGGAGCTCATTAGGCGCCGGGGATCCAGGAACTTTCTCAGACCTCTCACTGGCTCCAGCCCCTGTCTTGGTCCCTAGGGAGATGGTGCGGTAGAGGCCGAGCCCAGGCAGAGCTTCCCCAAAGGCAGGGCCCTGAAAGAGGCCCGGTGCCAGCAGTGCCTCGCTGCAGAGGGCCTCTTCGATGCTGCGTCGCAGGTTGATGGGTGAGGGCGGGCGGAAATCCACCGTGCAATCGCTAACGGGGGAGGAGGCAGGAGACTGGGCTGGGTTGGCCACCGCACCTTCGCAGCCGCGGCAGCTGCCCCCTTGGAGTAGGAGGTCGGGGCCTGGCCCTGCTAGGGCGCACAGCTGAAGCAGCTCTGCATCTCCACGCGCAATGGCGCTACCCAAGGGCTCCTTGTCCGGGGGCCCGGGGACCCAGCCTCCCGGGAGCAGCGGAGCAGCGTGTCCGGGCGACCATCGGAAGAGCTTGGCCCAGCAGCGTCGCGGCACCCGGGGGCTGCAGAGCGTGGGATAGAGGCCTAGCAGCGCCAGCGGGAGCGCAACGCCCACTTCGCCCAGACGCAGGCCTAGCTGGAAGGCCCACCAAGGCCAAGGTCCCTCCAAGCCAGGCTGGCCGCCATAGCCCAAGGCGTGCAGCACCTCATAGCCCTGCAGGGCTCCGCTCAGCAGCCCGAAGGTGCCGGCTACCGGGGCGGTGCGCGCTGCTCGCCTCCAGGACTCCCTCAGGGCGAAAGGGCTGCGCGATTGCGGAACCGGCGTGGAGCCCTTGAAGCCAGACCCTCCCAGGGGAGCTCCGGCCCGCCGCCGCCTGCCTCCCCAGCAGGAGAGTGCCAGCAGGAGCCCGGACAGGAAGGCAGCGAGGAAGGCGTGCAGCCCGCGCGAGGCAAGCCGCAGCGGCTGCAGCGGACGGTGCACCGCGCTCCCCAGGGCGGCCGCTGCAGCCAGCCCCAGCCCCAAGAGCAGCAGCGCAGCCAAGCCGGCGGGGCACCGCGGTGTGCGTGGCCGGGCCAGCAGCAGGCAGGCCAGCCCCAAGCCCGCAGCCAGGCAGGGCAGCGGAAGGTCCTGCAGCAGCAGCCAGGCGAGATCAGGCAGCCGATCGCGGTGTCCGTAGGCGTCGTAGAGGAGCGGGAAGGCCCTCGTGGTCCCGGCCGAGAGCAGCAGCAGATCTAGCAGCGCCAGGCAGGGGGCGCCGGGTGGGCAGCGCCAGGGCAAGAGAGCCAGAGCCAACAGAGCCAGCAGGGCCACCAGACCAAAGAGTGCACCTGCCCCATACACATGGGCCTCCCAGGCCAGGCCCCAGCGAGCCCTGGCCTCCGCCCAGTTGGCTTCCAGGGTCAAGAAAAAGAGAGGCAGAGGGGAGGCAGGAGGCTGCCCCTCACTATTAGGCAACTCGGGGTCGCTGCAAAAGTCTGGTTCACATTTGGGCGGCACAGAAGGGTTCCCAAGGCTGGCAGGAGAGGGTTCACCTGGAGCAGAGGTGAGGATAGTGGTATCTGTGGACAAAGAACATTTGATTGAAGCTGTTAGCAGCACCCCCACCCCAGCACACATCTAGAAGTTTAAATACATCTGTAACAAGACTGTTCTGCATAAGAGTCTCCATGCTTTTCAGCCTCTCCCCTTCTCCCCCCAGAACCCAACTAACTCCTCAGGCTGAAGTTTCCAGCTTTCATTCTCCCTCCCCTCTGCCCACTGTTCATTTCCCTCTAATCACTCCTTGATTTTACTAGGTGGAAGTTGGTGGGGGGGTGGTCCTTAAGAAGCTGCAGAACTTTACAACTGGAAGGAACTGTGGACAGCCCCTCCAGACCAATCCCCACACCAGAAAGGAAGTTTTATGAGAACAGGAGTTTTATTACCTTTGCACGCACCTGAATCTCCAGGCCTAAATGGTTCGTAGCATGTGGGTGGCACTGTGCAATTTTCATTGAATAAATGAGCCCTCTTATTTACCAGATAAAGAAACTGAGATTCTACAAAAAGGCAAAGTGACTTATCCAAGGTCACAATTTGGCAGAGCACAACTGAGCACCAATTTACACCCCTTTCTACAGCAAACCACCACCTCATAAAACTAATATTCCTTTCTTTCCTTCGCCTTCTCCCTCTCCCTCTCCCCTTCACCAGATTCCTAACCACACTTAAGTGTTAAGAGATACTTCCTCTGTCCCTTTTCAGTGCTCTCTTCTTATCCCCTTTTCACAGAACACATTTGCATGCACAGCAGGGGAAGAGGTAAGAGTACTGGCCCTAGCACACTAAGGAGAACACAATTTCTCACTGATTGCCCTTGCTATAGATTCTACCTCAGTCCTCAGCCTATGAATGGCTATAGCCCCCATCCTGATTCACCCACAAAACCATTATCTAGAGATTTTTGTTTTGTGTTTTGTTTTTAGTCTTTTTGAGACAGGGTCTCTCTGTAGTCCTAGCTGTCCTGGAACTCACTACATAGACCAGGCTGGCCTCAAACTCTAAGAGATCCACCTGCCTCTGCCTCCCAAGTACTGGGATTAAAGGAGTGCACTACCATGTCCAACTTTTTTGTGTTGTTTTTGAGATAGGGTCTCACTTTATAATCCAGGCTGCCCTCCAGCTCATTATATAGTCCAAGCTGCCCTCTTAACTCACAGTAATCATTGTGTCTCGGCCTGTTAGGTACTAAGAATTATACGGATAAGCCACTATGCCAGCCTCAAGCTAAATATTTTTTCCCCAGTTCCTAGTACTGGGGATAGAACCCAGGGTCTTGTGTACACTAGACAAATGCTCTACCACTGAGCTGCATCCCTAACCTTCTAGTCTAACGCTCATGATATAGGTATCCCCATGTCCTGCTCCCATTTTTCAGAAGATAATATTTAGATAAACTCCCCTGGTCTCCGAGGATGGCCTTGAACTCCAAAAAGGGAAGAACCAGGGAGATCATAGTAGACTAATGTGCTGTCTGAGTAAGTAAGCCCCTCGGGTGCTCTGCTAACTCAGGCTGCAGCCTCATCTAACACCTTTCACAACCCTTGGAGAAAGAGAAGTCAGTGAAGAGTGGAAAGTAGTTCTGCTCTCTTGGAGCAAGAGAAGAACTCAAAAAAGTCAGACTCAGAGATTCTCCCATGGATAGACAGCAAGGAAGATGCTAGAAGCTAACCTCTTCCTATACTTTAAAGGCTCAACAGAACTGCAGCTACTGGCCAAATAGAGGGGAAAGGGTGATGATGAGGGATGGAGACAGCCTGGTGGGGATGGGGGAGTATAGGAGACAGGTGTTGAGTTAGGTGTGATAGGCTCCTGCTGATTACACCCTCCTCTTGCCCCAACTGCCTGGCCCTTCCTCAGCCATGTCCCAGCTGGACAATAGAAAGACCCAGGAACATACCCACCCATGCTGAGGACAGGCAAAACCTAATAGAAGGAGTAAGGGGGCAGAAAGAAGCTCTGGAGAGCGAAGGGAAGAAGAATGAGGCAACTAGGGAAGGCAGAGAGGGAGCAGTCAGAAAATTAAACATGCACAGCTCCCTGTCAATTACAAATGGCAGCATGCACCCTGATTCCCATCCCACCACATCCCTCATATCTGAACTGGATAAGAATACTGATCACAGAGGACAGACATAAAGCTGAATGAGATGGATAGTGTGTATGTTCCTGGTGTGAAGAAAATAATATATGACTGTGGCCAGAATCATGGTTGGGAAATGTTCATCACTGATCAATTATCAGTTTGTGTTCGAATGTGATCACTTGAAGCTTCAAATTAGTTTATCTATTTAATGTGTATGAGTATTTTTCCTGCATGTATGTAAGTGCACCCATGTCATACAATGCCCAAGGAGAACAGAAGAGGGTATCAGATCCCCTGGAACTTGAGTTACAGATGGCTGTTAGCCATCATGTGGATGCTGGTAATTGAACCTGCACAGTCGGTGCGCTTAACTACTGAGCCATCTCTTAAGTCCCAAAATTACTTTTTTAATATTTATTTTTTATTATTCATATATGTTTAGTGGGGATATATACACATGACTGGAGGTGCCCACAGATGCCAGAAAAGGATGTTGGACCCCCTGGAGCTGGAGTTACAAGAGGTTGTAAGCCACTGGACATAGGTGCTTGAAATCAAACTCTGGTCAGTACACGCTCTTAAATTCTGAGTCATCTCTCCAACCCCCTCAAATTAGTCCTTGATTTAACTACCTCTAACTGTGATCTGGGTGAAAAGCCCTTAGCACATCCTAAACTTGCTTAGAAAGACAACAGTGAGTCAAAAGAGTGAACATCAATCTATTATCTCAGTTTATGAGTTGTTTGAAAAACACCAAGTTGATAGCCTAACCACCCTTCAACATTCATGAAGACAGCAGCCTCAGTTAAATGAGAATTTATTCAGTTAGGAACAGAGAGTACGCTCAGGGCCAGGGGAGGCATCAGCCTAGTATTGGTACAAACTAACACACTCATCTCCTTATCCTCTGGTCCCCTTTGATACCCTGGTCTAAACTACAGCTTCTACAAAGTGACTGGATTAGCTTGTTTTCCTTTGGCCTTTGTGGGCCCTGCAAAGAGGAAAGGAGGTCCTGCCAAGGAGCCCACATTCTGCCCCAGCCTGTCATTCTTCAGCCCCTTCTCCTTGCTCACTGTACAGACAAGTGCTCTCAGAGGTCAGCTCTCCCTTTTAGGCCACAGAGAACTCCATTTCTCATCTCGTGCCCAAATCCTAAGGCCAGTAGAGCAAAACTCAACATTCATAAGAATTCAGGACATGGATTAAAAAACAGAAAATGGGTTGGAGAAATGGCTCAGCCGTTAAGAACACTGGCTACTCTTGCAGAGGACCTGGGTTCAGTTCCCAGCACCTACATGGCAACTAACAGCCATCTGTAACTCCAGTTCCAGGGCATCCAACACTCTCTTCTGACCTCCATGGGCATTACACACATGGGTGCACTGACATACATGCAAGCAACACACTCATACATGTAAAATAAATATAATAAAAAAAATTTAACTAGGAAACAAAAAAAAACCCGAAACAAAATAAAACAGATGTAGAAAACAGGTAAAGTGCAAGGGATACCTGAAGTGTCAGAGAGGGAGTTCTAAATTGGGAGCACTGTTTGCAAGAGTCAGAGCATGCCCAGAGAGCCCCATGTAGGTCAGGTGTGGGTGCAGGCAGATGGGAGAAAGCCCAGCTTCTGCCTATAAAGGGTTCACTTGACTTCAACTCTTGTCTCCCTGTCTGCAGCTTCCTCAGAAATAGCCTTGAGTTTCCCCCAGAAGATAATGGTCCTCTGGTCCTGTCTTCTAGGAGGGGGATCCTGAGCAGGCCCCCTTGACCTCAGGGCTGAGAGAGAAGGGATGTCAAATGAGTGATTAGTGAGGCAGAGCTGGCCAAGCAGGGTAATGGGGAGGGATTATCTGGGTCCTGGAAAAGTCAGATCTGATTATCCACCAGCTTCCCAGATCAAAGGGCTGAGGAATGATCTCTAGATGCTGGAAACTACAGCCCATTTAGTGACTGGCTTCATCCTTCTTCCCACCCCCACCTCCAGGACTGAGATCAGGAGGACTGATACTCTGTAGCAGTGGCACTGGAAATATTTAACAACAGGATGGCCCAGGTGCTGGCCATTCACAGTCAAGGCCTGCCAATGGGTCAGGGAGCAGAGGGACAGCAGTGAGGACTTACCAGCAGGCCTGAAGTCCTTGGATATGATACAGCCCATTAAAACTGTCAGTGTGTGAATGGGTTGAATACAAGCACTGGTTGAGGGAAAGGGGACCAAATACAAGACGGCCCTGGGAGTACAAATTGAATGGCACCTAAGTTATAAAGACCCTAAAATGCCAAGTATGGTGGGACACACTTGAAATACCAGCACTTGGAGATGGAGGCCCCAAAGTTCAAGGTCAGCCTCAGCTACAGGAGCCAGTTTGAGGCCAACCCAGGCTACATGAGACTCTATCTCAAAAACAACAAAAAGGGGCCAGGTATGGTGGTAGACGCCTTTAATCCCAGAATTTGGGAGGCAGAGGCAGGCAGATCTCTGTGAGATCGAGGTCAGCCTGGTCTACATAGAAAGTCCCAGGCCAGCTGGGGCTACAAAGAGTTCCTATGTCAAAAAAGAAAAGTCTCTTTGCTCCCTGCTTGATCTCTCTCTCTCTTTTTCTCTTTCTCTCTTTCTCTCTCTCTCCCTCTCTCCCTCCTTCCCTCCATTCCATCCCTCCCCCATGTCCCCTGGTATGAGCAAGGGTTGACTCCAGCTTCTCGGTTTATCCAGGAGAAGCAGCATCAAGTGGCTGGGCTCCTGCAGCCAGGAGGGAGGAAGGGGACAAGGGAGGCTAGGCTGTCTCTGATACTGTCCAGACTCATTAAACCTGTCTGGCCAGCAGACTGCCAGCCAGCATCTATCCCCTGAGGCACAGAGCTGCCCCTGCCCCCAGGGGATTCTGCTACTGCTGCTCACTGAGGGAGCACTGTGATGGTGGCTGGAAAGGATCAAAACGTCCAGTGCACTGTCAGGTCTGGAGCTGGAAGAGCCAGAGGACCAGGGGTCTCTATGGCTGAGCCTAGTGCAGGGTGGCTAATGAGCTTCACAGCCAAGGTAGAGCAAATCTGGGCTGGAAGTCCCTCCTCATGGCCACCACAGCATGGTTTAGCAAAAACCTCTCTTGAGGCACCTTTACCCTCTGTACTGGAAACTCTTTTGTCCTGGAAGCTGGGGGCCAAAGTCAGGTTATCTGCAAGGTTAGGTCTGCAAATGTATTTGGGATACAGTGCAGGAAGGAAGCAAGGTCAATAGATACTGTTTAATGACCTTGGTGTCCAGCATCCTGCCAAAAGTTCACACTATCTAGAGACTTGGGGATTCTAGGAAAAATGAGTGCCATTTTCAAACTCTAGATAAGTGAGAAAACTTAGGCTCAAAGAGGTTAAATCTTGCCTTCTCACCACTCACTTGTCTAAATGCAAAGTCTCAAAGATTCCCTTGAATGAAGGTGGCATCTCTGTGTTCATAGTCTCTTTAATGTCTTCTTCATGACGGTTCAGCCTTGCCCAGGTCTGACAGCATGTCATGACAGATCAGACAACAGAGGAAAAAACCCCAAGGCTGAGATGGGGTGGGGGCAGGGAAGAACTGGGCACTTAGGGTAGAGGGTGGGATGAGTGGAGATGCTGTGGAAATCAAGAAGTAATTCCTGGGGCACTTGTCTCTGTCTCACTCTGCCTGTGACAGCAAACCCCCCAGAGAACCATTACTTAATTTAATGTGGGCCCTTCCCAGGCAATTGTCAACCATTCATGTACAACTTCTCCATGTTGAAGATGAAAGGAATGGTGATATGGTTATCACTAACCATAAAAGGTCCCAGGACATTGATGAGTGACTGGCACATAGTAAGTGTTCAAACAATAATTGTCAAGCTAAGGGCTGAAGAGATGGCTCAGCGGTTAAGAGCACTGGTTGCTCTTGCAGTGGACCCAGTCTCAATTCTCAGCACCCACATGGTAGCTAACAACTGTCCTAACTCCAGTTCCAGAGGATCTGACACCTTCTTCTGACCTCCACAGGCATTGTACAACACAGGTGCACATTCATGCAAACAATACATTGATATACATAAAATAAAAATAAAATAAATGTCAAGTTCAAATGAATTGTATGCTTACCATTTTGCACTGGTGTCTCAGTTGAGGCAGAGCTTAGGGAAGCTGCTGGGTCCAACAGGCTTGGGCTTGAGAGATTCCTTTCCAGGAGAGGTGGGGGTGGGGACAGAGTGGTACCAAAGAGCCCTATAACAGAAACATATGGGACTTAAGTGACATCCTACCAGCTTGCAGTACTCTGGGACTTTGGAGAAAATCATGTCCTTCCCTAGAGCCCCAGGGAGTGTAGCCACATGAACATCATGAACTAAAGTACAGCACCAAATCAGTCAACACAGTAAAGAAAGCACTTCCCTATGCAACATTAGGCCTGAAGAGGTGCTGGTCAGGTCATTACCATAGCTCCTGCCATGCAGGAGGTCTCACAGATGTTTGTTACAATGAAACCAACACTCACCTGGAGAATCTGATACTTCAGCTGCAGAGCTTGAAGGTGCTGTTGTGCCTGGGGAACTCAGGCTTGAGAAGTTCCGGAGTGGGGACAGAGTAGTACCAAAGAATCCTGCAAAAGGAGCAGTGACTGAAGCTGCCTTCTATCTACCAGTGGCCAGTGGGTGCTCATCAACTGGTGCCCAGCAGGGCCGCTCCTTAGATTGGGTGTGTACTCACCAAAGGGTCCCAGGCGCCCAGCAATCTCTGCCAGGCTGGCCCGCAGACTGGGCAGCAGGGGCAGGGACCGATGCCCAAGTGTGGGGGCTGCACCTGCTCTCAGTGCCACATCAAACTTCAGCTCCAGCTCACTCTGGTGAGGCCTGGGAGCACTGGTTGGAGGTGCTGTAGCTGTCAGAGCAGTGGCCCAGGTCACAGTGCCCATCCTAGGCTGAGATGGAGCAGTGGGCCACTTGGTGAGCCCTGAGATGGGGGATGTGGACTCAGGAGGCAGGAAGGAGGCCCAGGGTGTAAAGCTACCTTCAGCAGAGCCCCACTCTGGGGGGTAGTTCCCAGGAGAGCCCACCAGTAGTTCCCAAAAGGAGTCAGTCCTCAGACCACTTTCCACCTCTTCCCCTGGTTCCTGGCCTAGATCAGGAGAGAGAGGCTGGGTTTCTGTGACAGGGCTCCCCCAGACAGCCGCAGGTCCCCGAAGATGGAATTTGAAGTTTAGTCCCAGGTTGAGAGACAGCATGGAGGCCTCACTTTGAGGTGGTGGGGTCAAAGTAGTGAGAGGGGCATCTGGCACAGATGAAGCAGGCTGGGGGCCCACAGGAACAGCAAGCAGAACCCAACAGAACAGCCCCAGTCCCAGGCAGCCACGCCCTGCCATGGCCCCACCTGGCCTCAGCAATCTGGGTGGACAGGGGGCTCACTTCTTCAGCACCTTGTTAGCGCCAGGGTCCTGGAGGGAGGAGAAGTCCATGAGTCCTGGCTGTTGCCACCCTCTTCCTTTCCCAGGATGGGATGCCCTAGACAGAGACTCTGACACAGAGAAGCAGGTACTGTGGGCAGGAGACAAAGTGTTCTGCCTGGGAGAGAGGAATGATGACTTTCCTTGCCAGTTCCTTCCGGTATCCACAGGCGAAGGCACAAATCTCTCCCCTGCAGTTCCCACAGGAACCCCCAGCCTTTGCACATAGGAAACTGAGGTCTGATTAAACCAGTAGCTTCATCCTTAAGCACAGCAGACAGAACGAACCTGGTTTCCAAGATGCAGTGTCTCCCTCTTTCCCCAACCCTCTGCCCACCCTTCCTCCCGGAAACATCCACTGAGGCCCACTGTGTGCCAAGCACTGTTCCAGTTATACAGCTATGAACAAGCAAACCCTCTGGATGAATCCTGATCTGCACCTTCCCCCAGAGGGAGATAGCAATGGGACACAGGACTCTGGGAAGGGCAGAGCACAGGATGAAATGATCTGACTGAAGAGCTGAAGGCTAACCAGGCTCTACCAGAGAAGTAGGGTCCCTGGTCTGGAAGAAACTCCCCACCCCCTCTTTCCTGGAGCTTGGCTTGCTGTTACCCTGACCCTGACCCTAGAAGTATTCGAGGGAGGGACTAATTGACCTTTTCTGAAGAGAGGAGGCCAGGCTGGCAAGCTGAGTTAGGGGCAGCAGCAGCAGGCTGCCACCCCCTCCTCAGAACATCTGGTGGGGGAAGGGAGGGTGAGCCAGGGACACAAATGTACCCAGGACCCTTACTTACATCACACACAGCCACACCTAGCACCCGTGACACACTCACCCACTCACCCTTCACACACCTCTGCACACACCCCTGCACACACACACTAGATCCTGCTGAGCCTCCTCTCTCTCTCTCTCTCTCTCTCTCTCTCTCTCTCTCTCTCTCTCTCTCTCCATACGGAGGCACACATTCACATTGTACAGACACATCACATACCATTATCCCCCATGCCCCTTACACACCCACCCCACGCAGACACATGCACACGCGCGCGCACAGCACACTCCGGCTCCCCCAGTATGGACCGACGGACCTGCTCCTCTCGCTCCAGAAGAGGGTCACCAGGAGGGGCGACCTGCATCGGCGACCCCCAGCTAGGCGCTCGGAGGGTCTAGCCTGTTCTCCGTTGCTCCGGACGCTGGGATCCTGACTCCCCTGGGCTCGCGGTGCGGCCGCAGCTCGGCGGACCCCACCCCGCCCGCGCCCCGCAGCGCTCGCAGCAGGCGGACGGGCTCCGGCTCCGGGCGCCTGGCACTCCGCTCCCTCCCCGCTGCGCCGCCTCCTGGCTGCGATCCCGGCTCGCAGCCCTCTCCACTGCCTTCCGCGCCCTCTTTCCTCGCCCTCCTCCCAGCCGCCCGCCCCCTACCCGGCCCGCAGTGGGCACAGCAGCGCCGAGCTGCGGCCGCCTGGCTGCCCTGGCCCCACGCGCGCTCATTCACCCAGCGCTGCCAATCAGCCGCGCCTCGGTCTCAGCCTGGCGCTGGCAGCCACACACTCCCAGGGAGGCCCAGGAAACACAACCACACGCATGCCATCCTGGAAAACACACCCTCGGGCGAGGGCACCGTGCACGCGCGCGCACGTTCACACCCCCACAAACCTCCTCCCTACACACATTGTAGTGCACACTCGTGTGTGTGTACACACACACACACACACACACACACACACACACACACAACTACAGTCTGGCCCAGAATGGCACTCCAGGCAACCACAGTCACTCTTTCAAGCCCTTAGGATGGGTAGAAACATACTGTATGCCACAACCCTATGTATCCATTATAGAGACAGAAAAAGTAAGGCCTCCAAACTTACCAAATTGCTCAAGATTGCACAGCTTGGCAGAGACTTGAACTCAGTCTCTCAGCTTGCCTTCTCCACCACCTGGTGGTTTGCAAACACTGGGCTGCCTCTGAGGATGGTCTCAAATGTCAATCCCCAGGCATCCTGTCTCTTTTTGCTAAAAAAAAATAAAAAAAAAAAAAAAAAAAAAAAACTCCCCAAAATCCCTTTTCAAAAATGTTTGTGGAAAAAC